TCCACGACTGTGTATGGGACATTGCTGTGCGCAAATGGCTGCTGCATTTCAGCCACAAAATACACAGTCAATTCACTTTACATTATAGATGTCTCAATGACATGATAAGGCGCTATATCAATTGCAAGGATTATTATTACAGTATTATTAGTATTATTTATATACATCAACTTTGTCAATGTCTACTGAGATCCATTTCCGGTGCACTTTATCCATCACATTTATTGTGACTAGGATCCGTGCAGCACTTTCATTGTTAAACAAATAAAGTTGTTTCCTTCTTTTTCTTCATCCGCATTAATATGTAATGAATAATCAGAAGTATGCAACAGTGCACTTAGCACAAAAGAAAGGCACTCTGATCATTTAATAAGCTTTGTATGTGGGATCAGACAGCAACCTGAGCCATTGAAGAATAAGGATTTTTATTTTGTTCTTATGATCTCTAACAAACTTGTTTGAGTTTGTGAGGCGTAATGTTTCAGAGGCTTTGGTGACAATGACCTGACCTGCTGCCAAATTCTGCCATCACACCTTCACCCTAGTCTCAGCTCTGACAGCAGTTTCTCTACAGCATTACCATTACACCATTTGGAGTCCTGTAGCTCAGTAGTTAGAGCACTTGCCTTGCAAGCGAGACATCTGGGTTCAATTCCAGGCAGGGCGAAACCTTGGGCAAGTTTCCTTACTCCACAATAATAATAATCCCTCCAAAAAAAGAAAACAATAATAAATTGGTCATTTTCAATCCACGACTGTTTGTGGGACGCTGCTGTGTGCAATTGGCTGCCGCGTTTCGCCCACAAATATACGGTCAATTCACTTTACCGTCTATTCTGTGAAGCGCTTTGAGACATTGAGATGACATGAAAAGCGCTATATCAAATGCAAGGAATATTATTATTATTTCTGACAGGAACAGCTCAAATATTATTGCCAATATAAAACTTGAATAGGAGAAGATACAACACCTTCCCACAACCATAAAAAACTGTAATACTGTGTCATAGGGACAATTTAATCCAACATGCCTAAATTCAAGGTCAGTGGGTTTCATTTTCAGTTGTACTGTACAGTTGCCCTTTTTGGCATAGTCACAGCTATAACTTTGATATCATACCACTTTAAATTGGTTGAGAACTTCTTTACAAAATGTCGAAGACATGAGTGAATATCCATGAGACTTAAATAATAAATCTGTATCATGTTTAATGAGGTTGGAAAGAAATCTGAGTCTCCGCTGATCATGGTTCCTATTTGTGACATACAATCTATGGAGTAGGCATAGTTGTACTAGTTCAGCGCCAGAAACAGCATTTTAGATTATATTAGAAGATGATCAACCCTTGGCCCTCATGATATCAATTCTATCAGTAGGATCATAAAGAGAACATGGCTTTCAAGAGTATAGGGTAATCTATATCTATCTCCTAAATATGTGGATTAATTGCTTTTAATTCTATATTGCAAATAACTACCAAGATGATCCATTTTAATAACAAACATTAGTCATTGTATTTAGTTTGAATTATGGTGGAAGAGGATTGACTAAATATATATAATAAATGTTTAAATGGTGCTTTAAATAAGATGCCACTTGGTTCTGTGTTATAATATTCAATATGCATGATGGGTGTTCAACATACTAACTTAGAATACTTTGAAAAGTGATTGCGAATTAAGAGCTCTGAAAGTGCTAAAAATAAATCCACCGTGTGAAGTAAATAACCTCAGTATATCATTTCAGGTATAAAAGGCAGAAAACCAAGAGTAAGAGTGAAACGTGAATGGGTGGCATTGAATAAGTGTTCAGTCAGTGTTCAGCGAGATAGTGTTAGCTTTCTCTATCACAGACTGGTGTGGAATGCATTGTCTCATGTATTTCCAACACATAAAAAAAATTTCCTTACATGAAAACTTGTCAGCAAACATTTATTAAAATAACTATTAAGGAACAATTGAAGTGTTCACAATGGAAATGTCTAGAGTTGTTAATGTCATTAGTGCTTATGGAGATGACTTTTTTTTAACCTATCCACAACAAATTTCACACCAAGGCTGCAGTACTTTTAATTACCGCTAATTTCACTGTACCATGTCTGAATTTCTAGATTCACTTTATTTCACTAATATTTATTTTTAAGAGATACCCAAAGTGCATATTTATAGTCACACACATTTACAGAGCAATCAACTTGTACTTAATGGATTTTTCCAAACACAAACAGTTAGTCTGAAACTGACAAACAGATGAACGTCAACTACAGCCTTAGTGAAATTTGCAAGTCAAAGATTGAGTACACTTTCGTTTCAGGTTTCTATGAATTTCCTTTCAAAATTTGTGGGAAATATTTTATTCAGTCTGTGCAAACATATCAGGGTTAAAATTGCAATATGTAATGTAACAATTAATTGGGCCAAACCACTGGGCAGAAGTTGGAAGGTGTTCATGTCCAAAACAGGTGAACAGGTTGGCAGGAAAAGGTGGTTAAGACCAGGACACTGGACTCATTTGAAAAAACAGTTTGATGCTGCGATGGGAGAACAGTAAGATGGGCATTCTGGAGGGATAAGATCAGATGGGCCAAAGGGTCTTCTTCATCCAAACTAATCTTGTGATCTTGTGAATGGACCATTTAAGAATAATTTGCCAATAATTAAGCTAATTTAGCAGCTATTGGGTCTTGTAGCTAGTAGTTCATCAGTACGGCCATGTTCTTCAGTATGGCTCAAATCAAATTCAAATTAATTTCAATTGATTGATGTTCAATCTGTTTCAAGAGATATCAATGAGATCCTTTGGATTTCTTCAGGTTCAGTTTAAATTTTGGATGAAAAAGTTCTTCAAAGCCATTGTTGGTGCTCACCACAAGATTTCCCTGTGATTAGTGTCTAAGTGGCTGCTATTTATAAAGCCATTTTTTCTAATCAGACCTGATCAACCAGTGGAAGGTGGGAATTTTTTTTTATATTCTTTGTGTAGCTGGGCCTTTATTTTTATGCAGTATACTTTTATAAAGAATGCATGTCCATATGACCACATACTCCAGTGGATGGTGCACTGGTTGTCTATATTTACAGGGAGTCTGGAGGGGATGCCCAGCCCTTTTGGTAGTTCAGTAGAATAATTTTCATCAAAACCTTCATGGTAAAAATATTGGAACCTGTTTAGTCTCCCCTAACAGGTAGTATAGCCTTGAGTTTGCCTATGAATTTGGACTTCATATGAGACCAATGTTAGATGTTTTGTTAGATCTAGTACTGAATGCTTCAGCAGATACACAGTGTAAAAAACAGTGTATCAACCTGTACAAAACCTTACAACTGCTGTCATCCACTTTCCATCGGGTGCAAGGATTTAATTTTCTCCCAGTGCAATGAAATTCATATTAATTAAGTCTAGATTGCTAGTAATTACTCTATTAAATAATATGGTCCAAAAATCTTCAACAGAGAATTAAAACATATGCAGATTAGCAGTTTAAGATCATGCACATAAAAAGCTGCTGATTACCAGCACAAGAAAACTATATATTCTGAGCTACTGTTTTTATTTTTAATACTGAAGAATCATTTGATATAAATTAAAAAATGGGACGTTCATTGTCACAGATTAGTCCTAACGATGTTTATCCCACCTGCGTGCCATTTGTTCATTAAGCTTCATTAGTTCTTAGCTGTACTTAAAAGAAGTGTAGTTTAAAACTGATGGAAATCTGTTCCATGTTCCATGTCTAGCTGGCTGTTGTCTACCCAGTGTCTCACACATCAGTACTACCTTCAATGGTTATCTGCTCTCCCAGCAAAAGGATCACAGTAATGGAAGATAAAACTCCCAAAATAAATTGAAAAGGGCTAATCGTTGATTTCAAATCATGGATACTCTTTTATACATCAAATAATAAATGATACAAGAAGGATGGATTACTGTATGGAGGTATTTGTGCCGGCCATTAAAAGGGAAAATTTGTTTAAAATTCAGGTAAAGAGCGCGGTTTACTGTACCTCACCCATACCAAGACTCCTCTTGAGGGGTACATACATCACTTATGAAGCATATCTTCATGATTTCTTCTTCTCACATCACGTCATGTAACATCTTCAAACACATTCACTTTACTGAAGGTTTGCTTTAAATTTTTGTTTCAATGTTGGTTTACCATATGTAGATTTGTTTAGAGACTGATCGCTAAACAAACTAAATAATATCTAAATTACATCATTGAGTATTTTCAGGCAGTCTTCATTATTATTACTAAAATGCTAAACATTTCTGCATTTCTACACTCTGCAATTTTCAAAACTGCGTCAGTGTGTTACACATCCAGTTTATTACGGTTATAATCACACCAAGGTCAACAAATTCAGATTTGCTCACGTCATAGGTCAATTCATTTCACGTCAATAGATAAGATTATAGGATCTACGAAGACAGAATTTATACTAAGCCAATCAGAATATCAAAGTGGACACGATTTTAATGTACTCTAAATGGTGCTATTTGAGTTAATTCCTGAATTGAACCAATAACATATTTTACTTTTTATCAATTCGAATAATCACTTTACTTGTCCCCTCTGCTCAAATTGTTGGTTGACACAGGAATCTGTTTTGGGAGTGTATCTTGGTGTGGGCAAAATGTTCAAACTGTGGGATCCATTTTATTGGCCTGTGTAGATAGTATTTCACAATTGGGAAATATTTTTTTAAAAAGGCGTTTTATTAAAGTTATTTCATCTTTCCTTTTACTTAATCTGAATCATTCCCTTCATCAACATTACTCTATTGAGAGTTTTTTTGTTATAGACTCTAAGTTATCTAAATAACCAATTTGTAGCATTTGATGTACTGTTGCTTCTGACAGTGAGATCCAAAAAGGCAACATTTTACTGAGAAAGCTGGCTGTTGCTAAACGTTAAAATTATAAGCCAATAAAAAGGATCCTGTGTCGAACGTGAATAACGAATTGCCGCTGCACATAGTCCAGATCACCAGATCTATTAGGACAACTCTCGATAGTCTCCATTTTCATAACTGTAAGTGTTCTGCTCGTCTACCACCTCTTGTGCTTTCCCTCTGTTCTTTTTCCAGCCCTCCTTTCGGGCTCCATTGTTTTGGCTTGTAGCACCATAGGAGGTCTTTTTCTTTGGACTGATGTAATTGTCCTCATTAAGATTAGTCTCTTCCGCCAGTTCATCCTGGTCAATGATGCCACACTTATCGTCACTGGTCTGCTCGGGATCTGCCCAGTCCTGCTTCTCCCCGGAAGCAAAAATCGCATAGAATATCACTCCGCTATAGTGGACTACGGACGCAATGATAAACACATTCTGCCATTCTTCACGTGTCTAGGGACAATTATTGTAAAACAAATTAGAATAAAGTCACCTAAAGAGACCCGAGATAATAAAAAACAAACCGCTTTCCTTCAGACTCTTGTAAATGCTTTTCTATATATATATTATCCTGTAAGCAGGATGCATCCCTCCGGGAGAGAGTGCGCATTCCATTCCATACAATCTATCTCTGGGATGCAGGGAATTCTCAGCTTGGTTTGGATACTCTTAAGCATGGTGATGGGTTTCTGCATGCGTCAGACACCCAGCTGATCAAACCAAAATAATATATATATATGTGTATTATCATTTGAAACACTTCAGACATCAATTAAAGAAGGACATTATTGTTGAACAAGAAACGGAACAAAAATTCAGATGTACCTTATGTATTGTCAATGCTCCAACTATTACTGGACAGATCATCCCAGAAAGGGTCCCCACACCATTGGATATTCCCATCAGAATGCTAGCGTACCGAGGAGCAATGTCCAAGTGATTTACATTAAAACCTGTGTACAAGAAGAATAACTCAAAACAGTGCATCAGTTTCTATACCTTTGTCAAGCAATATCTCAACAAGGCAATCTCAGACACATAATTATATTATAAAACATCATCGCCATGTTTATACATAATATCATCTCGACAAAAATGACAAATGGTAAATACTGTATCAAATAATTACACGATTGGAGACAGAAGATTGAAATGAAGAAGTCAACCTACCTGAAATTGCAAAGCCACTAAATCCCACAGCAAACACCAAGAAGGAAATGGCCACTGCTCTAGTGTGAGAAAAACCCACAACTAGCAATAATGTTGCTTCCATGCCAAACCCTTTTAAAAGGACGCATTTAATTAGTGGGAGAATGGTCAACTAAGTACACGCTGTAAATAGTATACATAGTAATACTGACTTTAAAGACAATTATTTCCACTTTTTCTCATGTTCACTTACAGTATTGATGTGGTAAACAATAGTGTTATTGATATCAATAGGATATGCATCAAAAATCATCCGTGTAATTTTATTTCTATGAGAACTGTACTAAATGAAGTAGGACATGGTTTTATATATTAAGATAAATAACCCCTTGATATTTTTTGTTGTGAATCGAATTGTAAACGAGCACAGCGGCTTTGTATTGAACAACCATAAATACAGCTAATCTGTTAGCCCACAAAGATATTAAATTAACTTTGTTTAATAAATTATTTCATCTTCTAATTATGTACATTCTGTAGCCTCATCAATTAAATGAAATCAATTAACTGTAGCAAGCACAGAATAAGAAGTGTTGTACTGTTACCTCCACAGTTCATGATTTTTCTCACGGTTGTGGTTGATAAGATATTTCTGCTCCTCAGAAAATCAGCAAGCTGCCCTCCGATCGGCACAATTATTGTCATTACCATGTGTGGAACTGCAGACAGAATGCCAACCTGAAATACCAAAGAGGAGTATCGTATTGTATTTATAGTTACAAAACAGTCCAACTTCTTCAATACAAAAATTAAAGAAAAATACATGCAATGATATTTGCTATTCATTTATTTCAGCTGCCAAACCGTACATGCCTGAGTGTGGCATAAGCCAAGAGGTTCGACATACTGTAATACCATTGCTCTAGTTTGTCTCTGTGGCTGGTTTGTTTCAAATCAATTTGGCCACCAATTAATTGCAATAACAGAGCTACTCTTCCAGTTGAAACTGAAAGAGGAAAGTTATCTTTTTCTTAATGGACTTGCATGAGAGTACCTACTCTTCGGTGATTATCTCCTTCATCTTATACCATGTATGCCACTGACTATAACTCACTGATGTGTTCATCACTGATAACTTATTGGACGATTCATAGAATATGCCACACATCCTGTGATTCCTGACCTGTAATCTCCAAAATTTAACATATTTATCATATTTTTCAATAGCAATAATGTTGTACCTTCTTTGATAACAATATCACTGTACAGTGACAGCAATATCAGAGCAACTGATAGGAATCGCACTGTACCTTGCTGATAGGAAATCCAAAAACTTCCTCAAAGTAAGCAGGCTGGCTGATGAGTAGCAGATAGAAAGTCCAGCTTCTGCAGAAGTTTGCCACAACAATAGCATAAACTGGCATTGAGGTGAAGAACTTCTTCCAGGGTGTCTTGAATTTCTGATGGATATGAAAGAACAGTCACAGTTATCGTACGTGCATCTGTCAGTCACAAGAAACCAACAGAATTACTGTTAAATTAGGTCAGAGCCGTTTAGCATTGTTTACTGTACAGGAGAAAACAAAGAAATAAAAATGACTTGAGAGTCCAATCGCCTGTCACTTTTAAAATATTGTTTAGGCTACAATATGGTCATGATGTGCAGCCCCGATTCAAGATTTAGGGACTTCTGGTAATCAAAGGTACATCACTCAGCCCACACAAATCCTGTTCCATAAATAGATGGCATTAGAGTGCAGGTCCCCCATTTATTGGCATGACGTAATTCTGGTTACAGGAAGGAATCCTCATTGTAACCTGGAGTGCTTATTTAGAAAACTTTTTGGAGTTCCGTAGCATAGTGGTTAGTTAGCGCGCTCGCCTAACAAGCAAGAGGACCTGGGTTGGATTCCTGGGCAGGACAAAACGTTAGACAAGTTTCCTTATTCCGCATGCCTCTGTTTACCTAGCAGTAAGTAGGAACACAGTTGTTAGTTGACTGGCAGCTTGCTTGCTGGGGTAATAATTGGTTGCCGCGTTTCGTCCACGAAATACAGAGTCAAGCCACTTTACAGTACATTCTGTGAAGCGCTTTGAGATGTCTCAATGACGTGATAAGGCGCTGTATCAAATGCAAGGATTATTATTATTATAAATTGCTGCAATTTGGACCCTAAGATCAAAAAATGTAGAAGAAGGAGACAGACTCAAACTCAGTAGAAAGAAGGTGAGGAGATAGGTGAGATTTAATTATTTTACACAGAAAGCAGAATAGGTAGAATAGATTACTCGGGCAAACTTTGAAAGTTAAAAAACAGCATAATAATACGGAGGTCTGATCCACTGAGTTATCAGTTCCAAAAATATCATTTAAGGAAAAGTCCTTTCTGAAACTACATTGAATCTCTAAACTCACCTGGGTTACACTCAGTAAACCGGCCCCTTCTCCTATGCTTGCCTCAATGTAGGATCGCTCTTCGTGTGTTATTGTAGGGTGCGTTGCTGGACTTTCATAGGCAAGCAAAAGCCAAAATATGTACCAAATCATTCCAAAAAATCCTATCGTATTTAAAAAGGAAAAGTGAATGTTTTGTGTAGTAGAAAGAAAGACGATCCCACAATCTTTTATTTCTGATCACTCAATAATCTTGTCTGTGCTGTTCGACACTTAATATACAAGTTACGGTACTTAATTCGGTGAAGTGTTTTGAGACATCCTCCCAGTGCGAAATGCGCTATATCAAATGCAAAGATTATTATTGTATTGTACTACTGCCATCTGTTTAAAATCAAATCACAACTAGAACTACTTGACTTTTTCCATCAAAACAATTATTTAAGAGAATTTAAGTTGAATGTAAATCCTGAAGCAAAGAACCACATTCCCGATTGTGCAGAAATTAGTAGATTTTCTAATATAGAGTTACTGTGATCTCTTAACCAGCACCAAAATATTTACTGGATGCCTAAATGTCATCACCCCCCTCTCCTAATATTTTGCCCCCAAAAGCAGAATGATATAGAAGAACACACATCCTGGAGGGAGTTGCAGAAGTTAGAGGTGCAATTCCTGAAGGTTACCCATCCTCTTATACTTTGTAGTTTTGAAGCGTACTTACCATAAACATAGAAAACTGAAGACCATCCTTTATACTGCACCAGTAGTCCTGCAAGTGGCATTGCAACCACGGCTCCTGCATAAGAACCTAAAAAACAGAGAAGCTCTCAGTGAGAGGAAAACCATTGCTCTCATCTTTATTTCACCAGTAAACACGACTCTTGTGAAATACAATACAATTACAATACAATTTACATTTATATAGCACCTTTCATGTTGGGAGGATGTCTCAAACCGCTTGACACTGCAGCATAATAATACAGTATTTATGAATATTTAAACTTTGCATTGGAGACGATATTTTAGTGGTAGTGGCTCAGGTTAGCCCGCCTCACCCATTAGTGCCTTGGGATGTCCTCCTGACGTGAAGGGCGCTATACAAATATCATTTTGTATTGTATTTGTATTACCTCTCCCTTCAGGCTGAAACCTTCGGGCCAGGCTGATAACAGCCAGAATTCAATAAGGACTCATCTATCACAATTGATTATATTAGACATTTCTGAATCAATCGCTGCTATGTAGTTGTACAACAAGTTGTATTAAAAAGTTCTTTTATGAAGCAATGTTAATATGTCGCCATAGAAACGGGCATTCATTGCCATCAGATATCGGTTACCAAGAGAAGATTTACCACACGTCCCTACAAAAACAACACTGGAAATTATTCAAGCAATAACTCTCCATCTCCAGATATTTCTTCCTTCAGATAACAAATCTGATAATATCAGTAATTTGTTTGATATTTGCTGAAATACAGACAAAATATGTTAACATTTCCGCGTCATCTGCAGGCTAGGCTGATGCTTATAGTTAAATTCTATTCATTGGAAAATATAGCTCAGCTAATGTATGATTCCTTATCATCCCTTCATTAATTTCTACTTTAGAACTTTCTCTCAAATATACCAATTCCACCTGGGTCTAGATGCATTCATTTATGCAGCATTTTCGAAAGTCCAGAATTCGGCAAATTGTTGCAATCAGTCTTAACTTTGAAGGTTTTTTTGGAGTTCTTAAACAACGCACATCACAAGGAATTGAAAACTAGGCATTCTACAAGAACATAGGAAAATGAGAACAAGAGTAAGCCATTCAGCCCTCGAGCCTGTACCGCCATTCTATTAAATTGGCTGATCTGTGCCTCAACTCCATTTACCCACCTTTGCTCCTTATCCCTTGATACCTTGAAGAGATGTAAAGGATGCAAACACTAACCACAGAAAGATGTTGTTGCCAATCGGCTTCTTTCTAAAGGAGGGGCCCACTTGCTCCATAATCCATGGCATGCAGGATAGGTAACTCCCTGGAACATGAATGGAGATTTCAACAACATTAGTTTTTACCTTTCCAAAATAGGGCAGTTCCAAAATAGAACAATGGAAAAGGCAGAGAAATGTGTAGAGTATTTGAACCTCCGTTACCGATTTATATAATACAGTTTTCGTTATTACAGCTAAAAATAGAAGTGAGATTATTGAGGGGAAAGAACTTCTAAATACGTGCTTCATAAGTAATAGAGGTGTTACTTTCTATTGGGTACACGGCAGCATGATTTTTTGATATATTAGTGAGCTCCATTAGCATCCTGCAGATGAGATGGCAATGTACTCCATTAACTTCCTTCACATGAGATGCTAAACCAAAGTCAAAAAGAGAAGAGAGTTTCTCCTGGCGTCCTGGCCAGCAAACCCCCAAATAAAATTTGTCATTCTGTCACTGCTGTTTGTGGGACATTGTTGTGTGGATTGGGCTGCTGCATTCACCTACAGTCATTCCACTTCACTGTAAATCCTGTGAAGCTTGTGGGACGTCTTCCTGACCTGAAAGCCGCAATACCAAATGCAAGGGTTATTATTATTATGATATTATGATATATTCATGAGCATGTCTCTATCTCGTGCCTCCACAGACAAACTAAAGAATTATAGCCATGAAAAAAATCTATATGGTATTACTGCCTGTATTTAATAAAATCATTTGAGTTGATAATACTCAAGGATTCCAATGAGATATCCAGACTGAAGGCATATTTCCACATGAGAATCAGTTTTGGTGAAGCCAGGCCGAATATTTTACCATAGTCAGCAAGAAACAACTAGTTAATCATTTCCTTGGACTCCAGTCACTTAAACAGTAAGCAGCTGTTGTCATTTTAGCTGGAATGTGTGTGTGTGGGGTGGGGGGTGGGATGTGGGGTTGGCACGTGTTTGTGTGGGTGGGTGAAGTATGTGGGGGTGTTGTGCGGGTCTGTGTGTGTCTGTGGATGTGTGTGGGCAGTATGTGTAAATTGGAGGGAGGGAGGAAGGAGTGGGAAAACCAGCCATTTATTCTGCCCAATGCTTTATAATTTTCCTTTATGAAAATTCTTATCGTAAGCAGTAACAATTATGTTACTCTGAGGTTAATAAACCTTGCATTTCCTTACTCTTGGAATAGCACCTTTCATGTTGTGAGGATGTCCCAAAGTGCTTCACAGGATATATACTGTGAAGTGGAGAAGTGGAGTTACTGCGTAGTTTGTGGGGGGAGGACAGCAGCCAAGTTGCACACAGCAATGTTCCAGAAGCCATGAACGAATGATCAATTTTATTTGAGGGATTGTCATTTCGACCTGTCCGTTCCCTCCACTCAGCATTCCCCTGAAATGGCCTGCCCCACCATCAGCAGTCAGGCCTTCAGTCTCTCTGCCCCCACTCTTTGGAACTCCATCCCACAGCCCCTTCGCCTTACTGCCTCTCTTGCCTCCTTCAAGGCACATCTCAACGTCCTTTTCACCAGCGCCTTCAGTCACCCTCCTACCCCTACACTCCCTGCCCTCCACCCCTCCCGATCCCAACCCCTTGCTTGGGTTCAAATCCCTGACTGTCCAGGGCCTTGGGACATCCATCCGATGTGAAAGGCGCTACACAAATGTAATTGTTGGTTGTTGTTGGCCAGGAAACCAGGAGAAACTCCCATCTCTATTCGAATAGTGCCATGGGATCTTTAACAACTGGTCCTCAGATTAACGGCTCATCCGAAGGACAGCATCTCTGACAATGCAGGATACGCCCACCCCATCTCTCTTGTTGGTCCCTGTTTGACTTTTGTGCCATTCATGGCCATGCTGTGTGTGCAGTTTCAAAAAAATGCATGGAAGCACAATTTTTAATTGAATTAAAGGTTGCTCGTTGCTGAATCTGATCAATCAACCAATCTCTGGCAAATGAACATGTAAGAGTGAATCACCCTCTAGCCCACACTCCTCACGCCACTTAGAAGAGGTTGTGTTAGAGGTATTTAATTGACTCGCAAATGCACATCACTCGTCACCTGTTAAAAGCTGGTCACAAAACTCCATCTCAGGCACACAGCCTACCCAGCCAATCAGCACAAAATTCCTTAAAGGTATCCATTTTTAATAACCTTAAATCTTTTAGTTGACGGGAACATAACTAGTTTCTTTCAAAACTGATTGTTTATTCATGTTAACTAGAAATTCATTTGGCGTTCAGGCACAAATTCCAAACTACACGTGTGCAGAAGTCTGAAATGAGTTGTTTTTTATATGCCCCCTGATATTGTGTGATGTGGAGGAAGAAGTCTAAATCAGGCATAAAGCTCCACATTGCTAATTACAGTAGAACTGTAGAATCAAACTCACAATTGTACTACAATATGGAACAGAGTTATTTAAGGAACAGGCATTCATAAAATAATTCAACGAGCATGCATTAAGTCATTCTAAAAGATCACTATTTATGACCATCCTTTATATGCTAAAGACTTACCTCGACAAGACCTTGTAAGATCCTTACAAACATGACACAGCCGACGTGAAACCTTGCCGCCACTGGGATGAACATATTTAATGTTGAAGTCAAAAATATAGCAGCTCCAAAAACTCTAAAACATAAAGCACAACATTGAAAGAAATCAGGTGAAGTTTAACTGTTCTTGTGTCCTACCTCTTCGACTTGCTTACTCCCCAACCCACAACCCAATGTTTTTCGACAAAATTCTTTTTGGCTAAGGCTATTTAGCACATCCAATGGCTTGGGATATATTTCCAACGTGAAAGGCGCGATGTAAATGCAATTTGTTCTTGTATTTGTTGTTGTTATGCAGAATGTCAGGCTGAATAGTATCTTAAAATGTCATCAACTCTACGTGTAACAGCAAAATAATTTTAAAATCAGTGCAAATAAGTAAAAAAGTTTATGATTAAAGCTTATGAAGGTTTGAAACAGGCACTAAAATTATTTTCAATTTGATTGTGCACCAGAACAATCCTACCTTGAAGCATTCAAATTCATCACTTCTTGGCTGTTTGTGGGACATTGCTATGCGCAAATGACAGTCGTGTCCAACTATAAAATACACAGTCACTACACTTTACAGTATATCCTGTGAGCACTTTTCCTGGCATAAAAGGTTCTGCATCAAATATAAGTACTATTACTATTATTTGATTGAGTTTCAAATTAAAGGTTTAAACTGTTGGTGAGCCTTATTTCTTGTAAGCTTAAAATTGTGCCTTTAGGTAATGTTGAAGAAATATTTAAACATTAATGTTTTACACCTAACCCGCCCCAAGCCAATACCTTCAATTCTCAGAATCTTGATTACATTTGACACTCTTTCAGTTTCTAGTAAGCAACATATCATTTCTCTACAACTCTAAAATAAAGTACAGTATTCAGATGGGAAATAAGTGTGTTTGTGTCCCTCCTTCTATCAAATCCTGACACATTTTTGCCCCTTACATAAGGCACAAAGGACTCATAACTCTGTCAATACAATTTCCAGCTGAAAGCTAACCAGTGAAAGTGCTTTCTGGTGATGAACATACTGCAGTTATCCACAACTTCAAGTGAATACAACTTAAAGCAACCCAGACTAAGGGGAAGTCCATTAACTTGAGGAATATAGAGCATCAGTGACATGTAATCTCAAATGCATTGCCAGCAAGAGTAATGTAAAACTGAAAAGCACTACTGTGCGCTCGCAATTCCACTGAGAGGCACAGAAATTATAGCTTAAGGGCAGAGCCATCATCATGAATAAGAGTTAGGGAGAAAAAAAGAACTTCCATTATTATAGTATCACAGTGGAGAAAGATTGGTGAAAAACTAGTCATGCACATATAAACAGGTATTTTATGATCCTACATATGACTGGCGTAATATTAAGACACGGAGAGTGGTATGACGTATATACAGACAAATTAAAGTAAATGCAAACTGCTTTAAAATCGATATAATCTGTAAGACATCTTTTAGGTTTAATTGAGGTCTTGGTTCAGTTTGGACCTCATTCCTAATAACAATTTACACCTATATTGCTCCATTTATATAAGATAAAGATTCAAAGCATTTCATCTCATAAACCAAAATAAGTTGTTAACGTGAAACGAATAATCACAACAAAATGAAAAAATTTTTGTTCCAGTTGTGCCTGAAGTTTAGTACCAATGATTCTAGTTTTGCGAGTTTCAGCCACTGATCAGGACTTTATTGAATGTATGTGGAGCAATTATTGTGCATTATATAGTCTGTGAAATAGTCTTTACTCTGTTAACAGTACCATCTAGTGGATATAACAAAACATATTCTTCCTGTTTAGAATACTAAAAAAGGTTATTTTCGAACAGACATAAATAGCTTTATCGTAGTTAAAGCCACTTTGGTGATGGAATTGCTATTACATGAAATGCCACCATGCTGTAATATTGCTACTAAGAAAGCAATAAGTTTTGTGATATCCCACGGCAGACAGACCATTTAAGCGCATTCATTGAAAGCACATTTATCCATTTTTGTCCATCATTCATTCAGTTGCACCCATATCATGCACTGAGTCATTTTATATCTAGGTTTCTGGCTTCAAGAAACCCAAAATATAGGACCATATGGGAAAATATGTCCTGATTGAAATCAAGCACACATCAATGTTCATGGGTGGAAATCTATTTCCTTACCTGCTTTGCACACAATTGCTCAATGAATCTAGTCATGTAATAGCTCTTGACTCCTCCCACACTAATTGCACATGTTTGTCGAGGTCAAGTGAGGATAGGATCATAATTCATTACCGGTGTGCGAGCCTTTGCAATGAGTATTGGAAGCTAATTCAACTAGTCAAGTAGACAGTGCACACAGAACAGTTCCAGCTCACTGGCGTGAACGTTTATCAAAGTGTGCTTAAATTTGTATTTGCACATTGGGTTCTAAACCGTAATACGGTATTCATTAGCAAATATCAACTCCTGCCAGCAAACAGATGTGTATCATGCTGACCTATATCAACAACAACTTGCATTTATATAGCGCCCTACATGTGGGGTAGTGTCCCGGAGCACTCATCAGCATATTCCTGTGAGTTGGTTTGACATATACAATATTCACTTACCTGCAGGGGTCACAAACTGTGATTCCTGTTATGAATAACATATTTTAGACCTTATTCACTCGATAGTGTGAAACACGACCTTCTTCATCCTAACCTATCTTGCGAAAGCTTAGAGCCTGCATCCTCTGCTCTGCAGGGAATCCTCTCTTCAGTCAGGTCAGTGAACTAAAGTGAACACTTCCAGCAGAAAGGTTGTTATATCAGTGGTATAAATTGAACTCTTCAACACTCTCTACTGTTGCTTACAAGGAAATACAACAGCTCTGACAGGCCACCCCCATGAAGGGCGCTATATAAATGCAAGTTATTTTTGGTATTGTTGTTGAAAGTGAATTAAACAACATCTATTCCTACACAGTCTAGTGGCAAGTTAAAGTTTCAAGACCACATCATGATATGAACTAATAATAGGGGCTGACATTCCACTGCAGTAGTGAAGTACTGTGGAGTGCTGCACTGATGGAGGGACAGGACTTTGGATGAAATGTTAAACCAACATCCCATCTGCCTGTTCTGGAGATTCTGGGCATTAATTATCGAAGGACACCATTTTAAAGGAAGCAGAGAGTTCTCTTGGTGTCCTGGTCAATATTCCTCCCCAAATCTATTCAAGAAAAAAATGATAATTTAAAATAAAATAAATTGTCATTTATCTCACGGGAAATAAATTGTCATTTATCTCACGGAAATAAATTGTCATTTATCTCATGGGATTTTTCTGTGCAGGAGGTGGGAGGATGACCGAAGGCATTGTCAAAGATGAAGGTTTCGAGGCAGGTCTTGAAGGAGACAAGGGAGTAGATGTGGAGGATTCCTGCACTTTGCTTCTACTTTCCAACAGTCACTACATGTTAAAATAACTCTTATTCTGTAAAAACTTTGAGGCAGTTCAACATTTTTTCGAGCGTTAAATTAAATTCAAACGTTGTTGATAGCATTATTTTTACATTTTTATCAGTTTTACAGGATGAGCAAAAAGTCGTGATACTATTGCAATGTCTAATAAGTCTTAAAGAATTTTTTTAAGATAATAAGGTACCTATCATGACATTTTGGTCACCCTGTATATGCAGAAACTGTCCTGATGTAACCATGAATGCAACAATAAAGTTCAGGAATTGTCTACCAGTTTCATTGCTCATTTTATATTTTATAGCTCTCCGTTAAAATAATATGAACAAATGAATACAGTGAACAAGAAAATACCTCTGTGGCCTTGACTGATTATGGTCAGGTTAGGTCAAGGGCAGGTCTGACCTGACTGCTTCCACACTGATACCTTTTGCAGAGTAAGGCAGAACAATAATTTCACCCAGAAAATACGCAGTCAATACAGACTTTACAGTATATTCTGTGAAGCACTTTGAGATATCTCAACAACGTGATAAGGCACTATAATAAATGCAAGGATTATTATTATATTATTAAAACAAGAGCGCCTGTTTCATCGGACTTAAACTGCTGTATTTGTTTCACTTACTACCAATCTGCAAAATAAATCCATAGTTTATCAAATTTGTCTGTGTCAGTGTGTTTATGAAACAATATTAAGTGACAGTTCAACCTTCGCCAATCTGACACTGAATGCAGAAAAAGGTTTATTAATAATTAACTTTGCCAGCTGTGCCCTCCTTTCTCCATCACTCCTGTTACAACAATATCATCTGACAATAAAGTATGCTGTAATTTCTGATTTATGTACACAAGCTCAGATATTTTATACTTTTTTATATAACTGCAAAGTAACATGGTCATTCGAATATTAAAATTCTTAATTTCTACAAAATTTCAGTCATTTTATCATTATGAAGACCATAAAAGTACAGCCCAGCTGTACACACATTTATTGGCAGTAACAAAAATATGCAATATGATTGATTTTAATATGCTAATAAAGGTGATAAAATATTTTTTAGGTCTCTTTTACCAGGATGGCTCATTGACTCATTCCTATAACAGTGGAAGTAAGAAAGAAATTACATTCTTATATTCTCCTGTTGAAGTTTCTCAAAGTGCATTACAGTATATACATATATAAATATTTCACCCACAAAATGCACAGTCAATCCACCAGATCTGTGAAGCGTTTTGAGACGTCTCAACAACGTGATAAAGCGCTATATCAAATGCAAGAATTATTATTATTAATATTATTTAGCGTATCAAGTGTAGTGACCACTTCAGTGGGCAATAATAACTACAAACAGCCCATGAGGTGACTGACAAACTAATCTGGAGGATTGTCAGCAAGGACCCCAGGTCTCTTGGAATAATGTTGTGGGATTCACCTCAAGAACAGACAAATTGGATCTTAGTTTAAAGGTCCACCCAAAGCATGGCAGCTTTGACACTGTGGCATTCCCCCAATAATGCACTGGAATGTCAGCCTCGACTAACTCAAATCTCAACATGCATTTGAACCCGCAATCTTCCGACCCAGAACTGAGTGGTACCAACAGGGCCAAGTTATATTGTTCGATTATTTACATTCTTAAGAACATACTTTTACAAGAAATAAATACTTATTTTCTCTAAGACATGTTCCTTCACCAGGGTTCAAAATCACAGTAAGCTGAGCTGACAAATCTGAATTCAGCTGCTTATTTTAAAAAATGGTGGAAGCCCAGTTAGCTACTTGGTTTAATTTTCTGAAGCTTTTTATTGTGCCAGGAAACATTTGTACCAATCTCTGCATAGTAACAGTTAGCTGAAATTTTTTCCTTTTTTTACTATAGTATTACAGAATCTTACAGCCCGGAAGGAGGCCATTCTGCCCGTTGTACCTGTGCCGACTCTTTGTAGAGCTACCAACGAGTACCACTCCCCCGCTCTTAACCCATGGCACATTTTTCCTTTTTAAGGCATGTTAGTTAGGCAGATTAATCTCTGGGTACTGGATTCACTTCAAGTTCCTCCAGTGGATAGTGTTGTCATTAGTGCTGCCAGAGCAGCCCTAATCCATGCAGACTGGAAGCTCACCGCCTTGATTCTAGGTTACAACAGCTGATCATGATTCTGCTAGGTTATCCGAATTTTGCTGTGGAGTAATTTGGGTGCCCCATTTATCCTCAGTCAGCAGGATAGGAACGGGGGAAGAAACAAGAGGAGGTCAGATCGACAACAACAACAACAACTTGCACTTATATCGCACCCTCCACGCAGGGCAGCATCTCAGAGCGCTGAACGATCAGGAGCAGAGAAGCATATGTCAAGGGAAAACTTTAGAAAATTGATTGAACATATTGAAATGATGAATATGAAAAAAACAAAAAGCATAGATCGATTAGGTGCCTGAATTTCAATCTGTTAGAAATCTGTTAGAACTGATTAAACATATAATAATAATCCTTGCATTTGATATAGCGCTATTCACGTCCTCTCGACGTCTCAAAGCGCTTCACAGAATAGACTGTAAAGTGAATTGACCGAAACGGGGGCGCGAAACGCGGCAGCCAATTGCGCAGAGCAACGTCAATGGGCGTCCCACGAACAGTCGTGGATTGAAAATGACCAGTTTATTATTGTTTTGCTTTTTGGAGAGATTATTATAGGAAAGGGTGAAATACTGCAAATATTGCTACCTCTCAGTGCTGGACGAACAGCACATTGATATGAATCACGCACAACTTTCATCTTACAAAGACTTAGGAAGTGCGAAAGTGCAAGTGTGCTTACCTGTTTGCAGCAAGTTTGTTCGAGATAAAACCTCCTGGGATTTGAGTAACTATATACCCCCAGAAAAAGGAGCCATGAATCAGTCCCACAGTCTCGGGATTCCAGTTGAATTGAGGTTTCTAAAAAANCAGAAGAAGCAGCAGAGAGACACATGACCCTTATCATACGTGTGCAAAGTGCATGTTCTTTTCATACTGGTTTATTTAATCATCCTGCTTAATTATTTTTCAAACCAGTCCATCACAGCTCTAAAGTGCAGCAAACACTTGCATAAAACAGCCTCATCTTCAAAAGAAATTGCTACTCCCATGCATTCTCATCTTGCAGCTCAAATGGAGCAATTTCCAATGGGCATCCTTTTATTTCTCTAATGTTTCAGCCTATTTTTGCATCAAAAGTAGCCCAAAATCATCAATGGTTCGTTCAGTGACTTTTTTTTTACAAAAATAGCCCACCTAAATGTTCATAGATGCTAAGTCTGAGAAACTGGATCTTCGAGTTCATACTCCCAAACTACTGTAGTTGTTCAAAACAAGATATGACCTTTCTTATATTCAGCTCCATGTTGCTGAGCTGACCAGAGAAGGAATTTTTCAGATGAGTATTACATTGCACAATTAGATAACCATGAATTACTGCCTTCAGAAACACCACTACAACAACAACAAAATTACATTTGCATAGCACCTTTCAGGTCGGGAGGACATCCCACTACATCCAGAATGATTGGTTCACTCCCATCAGTTACGCCTACAGAAAGTCACTGTGCTGTGGTTATTATAAAGACCTGCAGTATTTAGTTCCTTTGCAGTGTGATACTCGGATATTTATTCACGGTGGCATCACTTTTCACATCCCAAATTCATACACACTTGGAACTATACTCACTTCTGTAAATCACCCCTGACCGGCCATTGATCTTCATGGAAGAAAACATGCAGCGATATTTGACAGATATCCTTATATCACACGATTAAAACACTGAACAATTCTGTGTTCTGATCAGAACGACTTAAACGTTTATCCATCTGCCTCAATCATACTATTTTTACTTACCTCAATCTCTGGCTTTCCATTTACATAGACAGTGTTGTTATTGACCATCTCAACTATTGCCACACCCAAATTGCACCGGATCCCAAAGGAGATGCAAAATCCAAGACCACTCATGATAGCAATTATGTAGCGTTTGGGGATTCCACAGCAGAGCCAGTCACACAACGGTCGTTTGTTCACCGTAACCTTTACAGGCTGACCATCTTCAGTCAACTCAATTTGGTCTTCTTCCACATTGGTGCCATCCACAGTTCTAGGAGTGACAATAATTACAAACAATCAAATGTGACTGCAAATACGTTGACCATCTTGTGGTTTATTAGCACACACATGTGAAATGTACATAATGTAAATCACTGGATGAAATTTGGAAAGAATATACAGTCGCACGTTTGTATAAAGTAAGATGATGGGGCATCATTAAACCATCAAAAATCTCTACTCATGCACACTTTAAAATGTGATATTTTAAACTATAAACTTTGGGCATTACAGTAAGTTAATCTGGTTTCATCCCTGTTTGGTTAAGATTTAACTCTTGATTCTGTGCACAATATACAGACAGTTCTTTCATCAGTGTGATCTCCTATACACACTTCTGTTTATGAAGTTTTGTAGAAATCCACTTATGTTTATTACTTTTCTCAAAAATATAACTTCTTCCCACATCCCTTAAAAGGAACAACTTGATAAGTGGGACTCTTCAGTCCTACATATGGACATCTTAGAAAGAATGTTATAGACACATTAAAGCTGCTAAATGGGATAGAAAAGATAAACCCAGAACAATGTTTTCAGAAACATATCAAGAAGACACAGGTTCAGGGTTATGAAAGTCAATTTTAGGATAGATATCAGGAAATATTTCTTTAAGGAAAGGGTAATCGACATTGAGATACTAGAAAGAGTGATAAAGGCCAATATATTGGACTCTTTAAGAAATAGCTTGATGCTATAATAAAAAAATGATAGTATTTGAAATGATGAGAGCAATTTGGTCGAACGCCTTCAGCTGAACTTTTCCTGTCATCTAAGTAGCCTAAGCCACTGTGACACCATTCTACTCATAGATTATGCAATTTAATTACGTTAGTCTGTCATCTGTCACCATTCACCATGTTAGTCAATGTTCAAGAAGAACTTTCCAAAATTGGAACAAAAACGTCCCATGACTCCACCTGTATAAATTATACAGAACACAGTTTGGTGTAAATTTCAAAACCGTACCACATGCCATGGTTTAAATATCATTGATAAATAGATCAAGCTTTGTTCCAGCAGTTTATAATGTTGTCTTTACTGCTTGATGTGTCGCTGTCTTGTAATTTAATCCAGCCAGTTCCATCCCACCTAACCTGTTTAAAAAGAGATGCATCACTGGGCACTACACACCAAAGCTGTTGTGTAAATATTATAACCACAGATGAGGAAAAAAAGTTAGACACAACCCTAAAGTATTTTACTCAAAGAACTTATTTCAAATAAATATTTGCATTTTCTGAATGCATTTTAATTTTTTAGTTTAAATCATATTTTGTCAATGATTGCCTTTTAGTTTCATTCACATACACAAAGTAGAGTGGCTTTAATGTGAATAAATGTACATTCAATATACTGTCGGAGGAGCAGAGTGCCTGTGACTGATGATGATTTAAAATGAGGCTACCCCCAGGGTCTCAGGGGAGTCTAATAGCACAAGATAATGTCTAAAATCTCAAACTATTATTATTAGACACCATCCTTTCACTCACAAAATATACAGTCGATTCACTTTACAGTATGTTCTGTGAAGTGCTTGGAGTCGTCTCGAAGACATGATAAATGCTATATTAAATGCAAGGATTATTATTATTATTATTATCCTCATAACACTCGGGCAAGTAATTGTAAATCAATATTTCTTCTATATTTGAAGATATAAAGGAACAGGCATTCTTGTTGTTCCACAAAAGGACACCACGATGCAGATCTTTCTTCATACAGGGCACCACTCTGTTCATCTGTGGCTATCTCCAACAGTGATAAATGATTTGCAGTCATTGAGTGTTAATGGAAAATAATCTTGAGGTTAGTTAGTTAGTGCTTTTACAGTGTTGGTGAATGTTTTCTGATCGATGATAGTGAATTAGATGTCGTGTAATGGAAACTTTCTATGTGTAAAGCGATTCTGCTATGACACATGGCATTGTCTAAACAATAGTGGTGCAGAACTAAGGCATTATCACTTCAAATCCTTCCACTTAATGGATTTAAACTGTAGATTATTATGCATCAAAATAGGTATGATTACTAAGGTAGGAACAGAACAGTCTTTAATAAACGATCATTTTTTTTGTAGCATCTTAATGAAAGTGTTTTTTCTTGTTATATCATTTAAGTGCCTTTTTTTAATAACTAGGTGCTATGAAGGCGTCTTATTAATATTTGGTTAAGATGGCATCAATTGCATGCACTATAAATCATTCCTCTGAGCCTTTTCATTTTATAAACAAAGTCACAACTATACATAGCTCAGAACTACAACAAGTCCATAAATATTACACATATCACCATTTTGCTTTCATATAAATGTACCAATAACACCTTTCATTACTTCTTGTATTTCTGTATTAAAAAATGTAACTGAACTAAATTACGTGCCTGTTATTCAACCTCTTACATGTTTTCCTCTTTAGGTTGGGTTCACTGAGTTATGGGGAATAAATACTTCCCCAAATAATTTATTCATGATTGTTGAAAGGAGTTGATCATAGCAAGTGATTTATAAATCCTCTTCAGTTTCACATATAGTATTTTACATTCAAACGAGTGCTTAAAACAGATGCATATGTGTGTAGGTTACTATATTTTAAACCAACTGCAAGCAATATTACTTTCTAAGTAGAGTACCTCTCATTCCCCTTTATCTATTTTGCTATTTTTTAAAAAAAGAGTGAGTTATCATAGGTTATTTCCATTGGTGTACAGTTCATTGTCACTGTTAGATATTTTGTGCATTATATATTGGAACAAGTATCGATTTTCGCTCAATTACTTTCAAAGCAAAAATTAAGTATTTGATGATATCTTATTTACCCAGTCATTGGGGGGTATATTTCTTTCTGCATTTGTTTCTACGTGGACAACAAACATAAACACTTTGCTCCCAGCTTTCCAGGTGATGAGACGTGCACTCACTCACCATTGCACAAACTTTCCAATGCCACAAAGAAAATCGTTGAATCAACAAACATGCTTTGCAAATCTGTACCTTTGCAGATTACCCAAAGAGTCTGCCACCACAAACTTCGCCTCCTCCTTCACTGGCTTGAAGATCTTATCTTGCAGCTTTTTAAACCCTTCGAAAGGCATTTTTCCTGCTTGTATTTTTTTTTTTTTGGAGAGTGTGGGTTTGCAATTATTGTCAATCCAGATGTTAAGCACTGCGATCACTGCAATACTGTCCTGGTTTGGCTTTTCATGCTCAGCCTGGTGTGCTTTTGCTGGTGTGTGTGTGAGCTCCTTTTTTGACCAGATCTTTCCAAGACAGCTTGAGGATCTTCCCAATCAATTGAGGAGAGCAGAGCAGAGAGTGTGTGTGCGTTCCTGGATCCTGGAGATTTCAGTCAATGGAAACTGGTTCTGGGATGCAACACCAAAAAGCCCATCTTTACATCCTTCACGTTATCCCCCCACCCACCCCCCCCAAAAAAAAGGAGTCAACTCATCGAAGCATCCTTAATGTTTACTGCACACAGGTGTGGAAGTGCAGAATTGGTGTATAACAGCAACCCCCACCTCCCCCCACCCAAAAAAAAGCAGATGGTTTTCTGCAAAAGAGCTAAATGCAAACATAAGGAGAAAGAGAGAGAGAGAGAGAAAAAAAATACAACCCTATGAGATGGTCCAGTTACTGTTGCACTGATCAGCTGTCCTGAGCTGGGATGCAGCAGGTCTGACTGCTGCAACTGCACATAGGAGCTCTTGCTGCAGCTCACACCCCCACCCCCCCAAAAGCATTGCATTTCTCCATTGCCATCGTCACAGCATTGGGGGGGGGGCAAAAAAAAAGAAAGAGTTTATTAAAAATTGAACCACTTTGTCCTTTGGCTGCGTGACGCACGTCTAAGGTTAGCAATCTCTGTGCAATGGATACAGAAAGGATGGAAAGAGGTTTTAAAATTTAAAACCCACACCTTTTTTTTTTTTGCATTTGACCTACGTGGGTCCTTTAATATTTCATTAGCAATTAGCAGCTTGTGCATGTAACCCCAGCATTTTATTACCCAGCTTTTGTATTTACTTGCAGGGTATAATCAAATACTTTTGCTGTGTTTGTAGTTGAGCACACCAAATCGGTGGTTTTAAATCAATTAAGGAAGTGCTTTAAGCAGACAGGAAAATGCTCCCAAGGTTTTTTTTGTTAAAACCCAGTCGACTTTCCTAAAACATGCTAATTATTTCAAAAAACCACTAGCTGAGGGGAAACGAAATGAAAAGCCAATTAATTGGATGGATGCAACTGCAACCTTGTTTTACAAATCTCTGCAGTTTGGAGTCTTTTTAAGGAAGAACATAAAAACATAAAGGTGATTGTTTTTTTTGCAATACGTCTGTTCAAGTTTGCATTTCTTGAGGGTTTGTACCAGAGGTTCTCACAAGACCTTATTAGATACCATGTTCCTTTACTGGACACTCAGAACAGCAACTGGACTGCAGACGACTTATGCATCTTCTGAAGAATGCATATCCCTAACAGGTAGGAGCTGAAGATCGTTTTGGTTAAAAAAGGCTGTATTATTTGTTAAATTGTGACATTCTGATGTTTTGTAATGCTTTCTTTGTTCGCTTTTTCTGGACCAGAGTTTGGGTTTGCAGCTGATTTTCTGCTGCCTCCTCGTGGTGAATGAGGGTAACACTCCACCTGTTACTTTATCAGCTAATCTCTTGGCTCGATTCAACTTTCTGCTGGTTCTGGGTGATATTCATTAAATGTCATCGATCTGCACTTTGTGAACAATTCCTTTCCAGGAGATTCAGGCGTCTAATACCAACCACAAAACTCTCAAAGACCTACTGACTCTGTGAACACTTGATGCACTGCACGATTTTACTCTAACTTCCATCCCAATGTCATTTTCACAACCTCTTACTGTCTTCTCTTCAATGCCTTTTCCAATTCCTTTTAGAAGTTCCTTTTTTGGGACAAGATATTTGGATAAGACCAACAATATTCCAGTAATATGACAATAACACTTCGGCTGGTTACTCTAATCCAGACACTAACTAAATTATCATTCATCTGTACTGGAACAGATGTAACGTTATCAAGTGCTATCATTTTCTATTTTGTTCCTGCTTCAGACACTTATGTACTAATTTTCAAAGTTTTACACTCAGTGTTTGTCAACCAAAATACATCTTTGGGTCCTGCAGGAACAGAAAAGGTCAGTTGAGTGCCAGTCCTTAGCAGCACTGATAAGCACTCATTTTCCCTTAAAATATCCCATATTCTGTATTATGCTTGAAAGTACTTTGTAAAGTCTCAATATCTGTAGTGCCAATGATATATACTTTGTGCCTCTTAACATTTCTCTGATCTTGGAAGCTCTGAGGAAACATATAACTCAATTGCATGTGCTATTGAATTCACTCACTGAATCATATCTTCCTCCTTGCAACGACCTACACATCCATCAAGTTGCAATTATTTTGAATAGACATCATATGACCTAATATGTACATACCTCATGCAGTGCAGGTAACTATACCTTAAAACTTTATTTCAATTTCAATTACTCTCATTTCACATGGCCACAATAAACATAAAGGTCACTAAATTGTGACTCTTAAACTGCTAAAAAAAAACCTAAGCTAAATACATAAAACAGTCAGTTGTTGAGATTATAGAAACTTCATACACGTGAAGGCCAAATGGTGAATGTATTTGTAGATATAGATATTCTGCAGTTTTGCTTCATTTAATAATAATAATCATTCTTACATTTGATATAGTGCTTTGTCACCTGGTCAAAACATTTTAAAGCGCTTCTCAGGATTTCACTGTAAAATGTAACAACTGTTTTGGGAGGCAATTGTGAAGAATTGTTGGTGAGGACATCAGGAGAAACTTCTCTTTTGAAATAGTGCCATGGAATCTTTAATGGTCCACCTGGACAGGCCGGACTGGGTTTAACATCTCACCCAAAGGACAGCAACTTGACAATTCAGAACTCTCTCAGCTCCCTCACTTGGTAGCACTGTTGCATCTGGGTCAGAAGGTTGTGACGTCAAGCCCCTTGTCAGAACTTTGGACTCAGTCTAGGCCAGGAGTCTCCAACTGGTCGATTGCGGTTAGGTGGTGTCTCACACATGCTCAATAAAAACAAGAGGAAGGAGTGATATTTACCAAAGCTGAAACATTAAGGTTGATATCTTTATTTCAAGATGCATGAAATATTTCATGTAGTCATTGAATCCAAGTGAAACACTTCATGCATCTGACTTCATTTTCAATTGGATTTAATAACTCTTGTCTTGTTGATCATGTGCGAGAGTGCCACCTAGCAGCAATTGACCAGTTGGCGATTCTTGGTCTAGGTTGACACTCCAATGTAGTGCTGGGGGTGTGATGTGTTGTTGGGAGGTGCCATCTTTTGGATGAGTTGTTAAACTGAGGTCCTCTTTGCTTGTTGAAGTGAACATCATAGACTCCATAGCACTGTTTTAAAATAGAAAGGAGTTTCTTCCAATATCCTGGGCAAAAATCCTCTAAATAAAATCAATCATTCATTTCATGGCGTATTGCAGAAAATTGTCTGTTGTCTGCAAATACTCAGTCGCTTAACTTCACAATAAAATCATGTGAAGCACTTTAAGATGTCCTGATGACAAAGATAAGACACAGTGTCAAATGCAGGGACTATTAAATTCACATGGTGACCCAACCATGTGACCCAACTGACCCAACTGTCCAGCACCTTGGGATGTCCTCCCGACGTGAAAGGTGCTCTATAAATGGAATCTTGTTGTTGTTGTTGTTGTTGCACTTGAGGAAGAAAGAGGCCAACTGCATTTTCCTCCTACGATCCTTCATTGCGCAACAGTTGTGAGCAATATACTTTATTGACAGCAGGCGGGAAACATCGCCAGGAAGGTATCGCCCACAAAACACACAGTCACTACACTTCACGGTGTATCCTGCGGAGCGCTTTGAGGCGTCTCGAAGACGTGATAAAGGCGCGAGATCGAACGCAAGGATTATTATCGCTTTGCTCCACTTTAAGTCTTAAAAGAAGAAGAAGGATTAATAGTAGTATTATTGTTATTGTTACTATTATTATTACTATTGCTCGGTGTTGGGCTCTGAGCAGCAACACTCACTGGTCCCAAGCCCCGCCCCTGACAAGGCGAGGGGGCGGGGCTGAGTGCGAGGGGGCGGGGCTGAGTGCTAGGGGGGGCTGAGTGCGAGGGGGCGGGGCTGAGTGCGAGGGGGCGGGGTTGAGTGCCGGGGGGAAGGGATGGAGAACTACACCTCCCAGCGTGCAACGCTCCCATCCGTGCGCAGGCGCAGAGTGGGGGGGGGGCGGCGCGAGACACATCCGGTTCCGGACGTTGCTGGAGCAGGAGGAGGCGGCGGCGGCGGTTGGTCGAGTTGAGAGTCGAAGCTGCGGCTGTCCGGTGAGGAGGAGATGGCGGCACAGGAGTGGGGGGGAGAGGGAGAGGAACCGGGGGAGGAGTGACCGGGGTGGGGGGCACCGGCACCGCCCCTCCCTCCCTCACAACCGCCCGGGAGACGCGGTGGCGGCACCGGCAGTGTGTGAGGAGCTGTCCAGTGGTCCCCAGTTTAGCCGCTCTCTGATCGTGTCAGAGTCAGGTTTGGGGGGAGGGTTCCCTGACTGTGATGACTATAACGCAATGTAAAGATGGTGGCGGCTCCTGTCAAACACAGCTTGGGCTGTGGTGAGGGGGGGGGGGGGTTTGGGTGTTGGGGGGGGGGTTGGGTGTGGGAGGGGGTTGTGTGTGGGTTTGGGGTGTTGGGGGTTGGTGGGGGGGGGTGTGGGGGGGGTTGTGGGTTGGGTGTGGGGTGTTTGGGGGTTGTGGGGAGGGGTTGTGGGAGGGGGGGTTGGGTGGGTTTGGGGGTTGTGGGGGAGGGGTTGGGTGTGGGAGGGGGTTGTGGTGTGGGTTTGGGTGTTGGGGGGTGTTTGGGGGGGTTGGGGGATTGGGGTGGAGGGCTGTGGTGGGGGGGTTGTGTTGTGGGTTTGGGTGTTGGGGGGGGGGTTGGGTGTGGGAGGGGGTTGTGTTGTGGGTTTGGGGGTTGTGGGGGAGGGGTTGGGGGGGTGGGGGGGAGTTCACAGTAGCTCCAGTCCTTGTGCGCTGCTCTAATGCGATTAGTGAGGCTGTAAAGTAAAGCTGTGTGTCACACGTGCATTTCTGGATCCTATTATTTACCGACAAGGAGATGGTATCGGCTGCATCTGGTGCCTAAGGTTTTTTTTGTGTGGGGGGGAAGCCGGAACCTGTCAGTGAGCGTTGTCACTGGTCATTTCAAAGCACTGTTGCACAGAGCTGTTGCCTCTCTCCACCCTCTGCAGTTAGTCAGCTCTTATGTGCTGGTGTGTGTGGTTGACACAGACACATGGTATTATTATTCGCTTCCCCTAAAAAGAATGTTTGTAAATGTCCAAAGAAAGTTATCGATGTTGCAGGAGTGTTCAGCCTAAAGAAACTTAGTTTCTAGCCATTAAAACAGAACAGTGTTCTTCTAATTCAATTGCAGGTAATGTCAATTTCCAGGAACCCATTATTCTCTATTTGATTTATAATAATAATAATAATAATCCTTGCATTTAATACAGTGCCTTATCATATCTTTGAGATGTCTCAAAGTGTTTCACGGAATATACTGGAAATTGAAATGACTAGATATATACTATGGGCAAAACACGATTGTGGCCTCAATGTCCACACAAACAGTTGTGGATTGAGTGACCGTATTATTATTTTTTTGGAAGGGATTATTACTCCCGGAAAATCAATCCGGCAATCGACTAACAGCTAGATTCCTACTTACTGCTCGATAAACAGGTGTGTGGAGTAAGCAAACTTGCCCAATATTTTGCCCCGTCCAGGTCCTCTCGCTTGTGAGACGAGTGCTCTAATCATTAAGCTACAGGACTCCACTTACTTTTCATAACTGATTGACGTGAACAATGTAAAATAAAGCAATTTGGTGCACATGAGAGTTAGATAAAATTTCTTTATGAAGTATCAAGCACCACAAAGATAAACCTGCATTTCAGTAAATACATATTTACTTTGCTAATAATTACTATGTTAAAATCAGCATTTAAGTTCTGAACAGGAATAGCCCACAACAGTTCACGTCACAACCCATATATTCACCCTTCAATAAATATAATGGTTAATCAATTCAGGCCATGGGGTCCACATTCTACCAAATGGAAGGAATTACTAATAGTTCATTCTCAACAAGCCGGATGGAATTATTGTAAAAACAATCTATATCCAAATAGAAGCAATGTCAGTGATCGACTATATATGCATCTGATAATGAAGAAAACAGAAATAGAATAACAGGCTTCCTGAACTTGGGCCTGAAACATGGGGAACCAAACCAGGGCCAACAACTGACTATCCTCAGTTATCAATTGTAAAAGAGGTTTTTAGTGAACTATTCTTGCAAAGAATCAGAGCCATTAGTATTCTCTGATCTCTCAAATATTTATCCATAACTACTACCACTGCTACCAACTGTGGACAGCTGACACATTTTTAATAAAAACTGTTTCTTTTTGCCAACAATTTCAAATGAAATTATTTCACAAGACTTGAGAGACAAGTATATATGAAATTAGAACATTTACATCCAGAAAAAAGGAACGTGTCCAGAGGGAAGCCTTTGTCCTCGATTGACCAGTTTCTGACACTGAAGCAGAGTTAACTAGAATCAGAAGAAAAGCAAGTGCTAGAACCTTACTATTTGATATCAGAAGAAAATAATTAATTGCCTAAAGAATGAAAATAAATCCTAAAAATACTAATGTAATAAGATTGTTACCCAGACACAGTTACTGTTTGTGAGCTGATAGGCAAGGCTTAGCTTGGCGAAGTTAATGAGACAAAAATAGAAAACTGCGTTGAAAACAGACACCTGAATGCATAGGCCTCTGAATAAGACTGATGGGTTTTACAGTTTCATAGGCTCCAATGACGTCGTTAAAGCTATGTCAACATAGTGATGCATTTTAAAATAATGCGAGCATTTTGCTTCTTTGATGAAATCATTTGTATCTCTTATAAATACAGTATTTTGTAAATTTGCTGTTAATAGTTTCCATGTGTTTTTTTTCACTAGATTGACTTCGTTGAGGCTATGAAACTATCTATATTTTAATACTTGTTTAAATTTGTATTTGTTCTTCCATCCTATTTTTGACTATTTTCCTTTTTTTATTACTTTAAAATGTAAATTAGATAAATGCTCTCCTATTTGGATATGTAGGAAAACCAAGGGAAATAATAATAATATTAATAATAATAATCCTCGCATTTGATATAGCGCTTTTCACGTCGGGAGGATGTCCCAAAGCGCTTCACAGAACACACTGTAAACTGAATTGACTGTATATTTGTGGGCGAACGCGGCAGCCAATTGCGCACAGCAATGTCCCACAAACAGTCGTAGATTGAAAATGACCAATTTATTATTGTTTTGGGTTTTGGAGGGATTATTATTAGGCTCTGTGTGGAGTAAGGAAACTTGCCCAAGGTTTCGCCCTCTGCCTGGAATTGAACTCAGGTCTCTCACTTGCAAAGCGAGTGCTCTAACCACGAAGCTACAGGACTCCACAGGAAAACCAGTTTTAAAATTTGGGAAATCTGTAGTTACTAAAACACTACAGTTTACTTATAAATGCATAAATATTGTTATAAATCTAAAAATATTCTGATTATTTCAATTAAGTGTGTTTGAGCATTTACTTTTTATTGATAATTTATGTTTTATCTCTTTCCAGAGAAATGAGTTGTACTATAGAAAAGGTTCTGGCTGATGCTAAGGCGCTGGTTGAACGGCTGAAAGAACATGACTGTGCAGCCGAGGCACTCATTGAACAGACCACTGCTCTCAACAAACGGGTTGAGGCTATGAAACAGGTAAATGTCTAATGGTAGCTTTCCAACATAACTTAGCAGTCATGTTAAGTTTTCCTTGGGTACTTAAAGAATGTCTATTTGTGAGGTTTAAATTGGAAAACATTCGCAGGAAAATATAAGAGTGGCTTCACTGAAATATTATTTGGATATTTATATTTAAATAATTATATTTATAATTATACAGATAATTAGTCCTGTAGCTCAGTAGTTAGAACACTCACCTCGCAAGTGAGAGACCTGGGTTCTATTCCCGGCAGAGTGAAATGTTGGCCAACTTACTCTTTACTCCACTCGCCTCTGTTTACCTAGCAGTAAGTAGGAACCCGGTTGTTAGTCGATTGGCGGATCGCTTTTCTGAGGATAATAATCCTTAAAAAAACAATAATAATTTGGTCACTAAATACATGACTGCTTGTGAGACACTGCTGTGCGCAATTGGCAGCTGTGTTTCGCCCACAGATATACAGTCACTTCACTCTATTCACTCTACAGTATATTCTGTGAAGCGATTTGAGACGTCTTGAAGATGTGATAAGGCGCTATATCAAGTGCAAGGATTATTATTATTATATATGGTCAGAGGGACTTATAGATGCCCTCCTTTAAGCAATTAAAAGTGAAGGAGAAAAAATACAGATTTAACCTAGAATCCGTTTCAGTAGGTTAGTCCACTTGAGTGTAATTGTTCCTCATTATAAAAAACTATTCTATGTAAATACAATTGTTTGTGAAATTAGGTCAGCTGATGTGGTCTTCTAGGGGTCAAAGTGGTGGATATGGGGCTGACGGGATATTTGGAATTCCTATTGTAGATGATATTTAACTTTGTGTCTTCTATGTTTTGTGTTTAGATAGGGGAGTAATAGAAAGAGTGAAAGTTTTACAGTTGCGGTTTAAGTCACTCCTCTCTAGAAGCCAAATAAATCAGGCTATTTCTAATTTAATTAAACAGATAAAAGTATCTTGACTCAAAAATAGATGCTAATTAACTTTTATAGGGAATGTTTGCATAAGTGCAAGCACTGCACAATCTGAAACCGATTGAAACTGATAGACTCCTTGGTTCTATAGAAGAGTCCTTGAACTGGGGATTATCTTAAAATGATAAGTGTTTAAAGGTTGCATACAGGGAAAAGTACTTTAAACTGCTTTTATTTTAAGTAGCCTCAAAGATTCTTTCAATGTAGGCATCTCTAAATAATTCATATTCAAAAATTGTTTCAACTGCTATAATGCATACAACAAGCTTTTAACTCAATTGTGGAATGTCATGTATATATAAACCAGATTTGATTCTTAATGTTACACCGGGGCTTTACCCTTCACTCGCAATATTACTCTTTCAAAATGACAGATCAAACAAGTTAGAAAGGATACATAAAGGATGGAAAACTACCATAAAACTCAAGCTGTTGTTACAGAAACAGTGGTATTCTTCAACGTACCACACTTATTTATTTTAAAATCAATTGTGCCAATAGGGTGGAATGACCTATGAAGCAAAATTAATTGACTGATGTTTTCTAGAGTATGATCAGTAACTGAGTTAAAAGATGCATAAATGTTTGAAAGTAGGTGAAAAATAATATTTTTTGTGTCACTTTGTATAGTTCAGTATAGTTTTGTTTTTGCAATAACTTTCCTCAGGTAATAGAATTTCTAGGGTTCCTCTTTGGCTCACAGAGATCAAATTTGAGAATTTGCACTTGAATTTTCACCTTGTTTATTTAAATTTAAAGGGAAAAGTACTTTAAACTGTTTTTATTTTAAATAACCTCAAAGATTCTTTCAGTTTAGGCATCTCTAAATAATTCATATTCAAAAATTGCTTCAACTGTTGTAATGCAAACAACAAGTTTTAACACATCTGTAGAATGTCCTTTTAACCTTTTTTTAAACTTTTTAACTTTTTTTTAAACTTGTCCTCCCGACATGAAAGGCGCTATACAAATATAATTTTGTTGTTTTGTTGTTTAGTAAGTCGAGCCAAAGTTTTGCTTGTTCAACTTGATGAAGCTTTGATGAAATAATGTTGTAATATCCTTAGCAGTGCTTTTCCAGTTTAGTTTTTACTTACTCAATCTATCAATACTCTCTCCTACTCCACATTGTAGCTTCAAAGTATGAGTTTGACTGGAGCATATGACATTTTTGCTGAATTCTTTCCTTATCCCTTACCCTGCAATGACTACTGCTGGGATATCCTAACACGAGTAACTCTGCTACCTGAAGTTACCATTTTTCACATGAGCGTAGACAATGTGTGTTAGCATTATTTGACTGGGACAGAAATCAGTCTTTCGTCATCTGACATTGACACATATGTCCAGCAGGGTTCACTAGAAAGGAATGATAATTGCTTATTTTGTTAAAAGTGCCAGTTCCTAGCCCAAGGAGTTGGGCAAATATAGCTCAAATTCTCACTGTTGCCCTGAATTGGTTAACGCAGAAATTCATCCTGGTTTGTATGACACAGTACCAATTTTTTTTAAAACAAATTATGTACTTTCCAGAATTGCAAGAATCTTGGCCTCAAAATTTACAGTAATGTCCATATATCGGGGCAAAACCTTAGGCAGCTTTTCTTACTCCAGACGCCTCTGTTTACTTAGCAGTAAGTAGGAATCCGGTTGTTAGTCGATCACTTTCCGGGGATAATAATCTCTTCCAAAAAANTAAATAAGTAATTTGATCACTCTTTGTGGGCAATTGGCTGCCGCGTTTTGACAACAAAAATATCCAGTCTATTCGCTTTACAGTATATTCTGTGAAACACTTTTGAGACGTCTCAACAACTGCATCAAATGCAAGGATTATTATTATACATTCTTAAGATGTTGCTTAAAGTATGGAAACTACTGAAAAATTGAAGTACTTTATTTATGGTCATTAACAATGAATTACAATGTAGCATTTCAAACCATTCTAGAAGTGCAGCATTTCTGGCCTTTGTGAGCTTTATTAACTGTGTGGGAGTCGAAGAAGTGCAAGATTATTCTTATGGCACTGATCTTGAAACGTATTCATCACTGACTGTGATAGATATATCTACATAATGGCCAATTAAAGGAGAACTAAAAGAAGTTTTGCGAATTACTTTTTTGAGACTTAGAGCAAATTAAAGCTTTGCAACTAATGTATTCTACTCTAAAGCAACAATAACTACTTAATTCACAGTTTGTACTGGAAGCGAATGAATATTGCTTCCAGCAGCAATATGATGAGGAGTGTGAAGCCTGATTTGATTCTACCGTGTAATCGCAGTGGTCCTTATAATCACATAATTGCACTGATTGACAAGAATTTCTCTGCTCGTGTACAATTTATAAACGTTAAAGCAGCCCCTTACAAATTCTTTTTGTCATTTGGAAAACCCCAGAATTATTAAGGAATTATTTCTGAGCAGAGCCCAAGTTGATTTTCCCCTGCTGTATTTATATTGTAACGGTATAACTCTCAATGTACTGACAAAAAACACCTCCTCAAGGTGATCTCAGAAGCCGGCATCAATGCAATTTGTTTTTGGGTTGTGAATTTAGACTGTGTCTTTTATGGTAATTTCCGAGCGAAACTCGATATAAACTGCTTATTAGAGTCCCTGCTGGATGTATCAGCTACTGTTCAGGACTCAGTCCTATGGCTGGCACAAAGGCATAGTGACTAAGATACAGCTTCACTGCAGTCAATTTCTCAAGATTGATTCCTCTCGAGCCTTAACTTAATGAGATGCATTGGTCTCAATCAAAATTAAACATTTTATACCAACAAATCATTTTACTCAGGTGTGGGGGGTGTGAAATAAGGGGTGAACAATTCATCATTGTCTCGGTAAGTGCCTCTTATTAGCTCTGAATCATCTTGATGATAATAGAAGCTGCTGAAGGACGAAACCTCCTCCTGGAAAAGGACAGTGTGGAGGAGGAAATTTATAATGGTTCAAGTAATTGGGGAGTAGGTGGAGATGATTAAGAATAAAAATGGGAAGAAAGCCCAGGCATATTAGGGGTTCTTTCAGATGAAGCATCAATGGTAATGAGAAGTTGTTCATGTAAACGTATCAATTGTTGCCGGTTTGATTGCGTTGGTATAAATAGATTTATCCCATAAAACTTGCCTAGCAGTGGGGAACCTATGACAACCCGTGTACCTTCACACGATTTTTGCTATGTTAAGATATTACAAAGTGTTGCAGTTCTATTAGATATTTATAGCAGCCCAGTCCTATAACTGCTGGATTATTACAGCTTGTAATAGGTTGTACTTTGCAGAAGGCTGTGATATTTAGCATACATTGAACTTCTATGTATTCAAAATATTTCAGATTCATTTTTTTAGATAACGAGGAGTTTGATCTAGCATTGAGAAGCCCTTTTTATTTCCACACTCCTGGATCTCCCAAATGTGAGAGACCCCCATCTGCAATCTTAAATCTCTTCCAGCCTGCCCCTGTTCCCAGATGTCTGACGTTCAGCAAGTGGATTTACCTCAGCTATTTCTGTCCATGCCTGTGAAAGATAATCAGCAAAACGGCAATACATTTAAAAACAGCAGGGCTCTGTCAAGTTCTTTATTGGTCTTTATTTGGCTACAGAAAATTATCATTACACTTGACAATGATTGCTGAAGAAGCACTTTAAGGCATTTTGACAAATCATTATAAAAGTGCACATCTTTTTGATTTTTAATCAAAATATCTTGATCATTTTCTATATTTAGACTGGTGGGGTGATCTTCAGAAGAAGATGTAAAGGGTAAACCAGTGAAGCAAGAAAGGAAAAAGTGCATTAACAACTAATAGTAACAATGTAAATCAGCCACTGCTGAGCCAAGATCTCCCCTATGCAATTTGAGCTTGTGTTATCTACTTTCTCTGACTCCCTGGTATCATGCTCCTGGATCTCCTCTTATCCCGATCAATAGATATTTTGACTTAACTGAACGCTTCAAATAGACGTGTTCTCGATAAGTGTAAGTCAACTCTCTCTCTGTATATATATACACACACACAAATATTATACACACACATATATATATGTATTTTTCACTGCTGCCAAAAGGTTTTAGCTTTAGTTAGTATATATATTTAAAGCAATTTTACTACTTTCACACTTTTTATCCTATTCCTTCTACATACTGCAGTCCCTTCTCCAGCCAGGAGATGGTCTGAGTGATAAAGTATTTAATGATTACTGTCATCATCTCCCTGTGATCAACGGGTTATGCCATGGGAATTAACCCAGGATGACGTCGTTTGATTTTTTTTCTACCTCCATTTAATGCTTGGTGGATCCTTCTAGGATCCTGACAGGAGAAGCAAATATGAATGACAGACAACCATTTGGGGGAGGGGGGATCTAACCTTCAAACTTCTGAGAGGAAACCAAGCATTCAAGTACTTCCAAGAGAAGAACTGCCATTCATTTCTATGTAGCTGGTAATAATTTGTACTAATTGTGTTGCATATGCTTTGCGCTTGGCTTATGATTTAGTACCAGGAAAATATTCAGGAATTAAATGAAGTAGCCAGACATCGACCCCGCTCCACCCTGGTGATGGGAATCCAGCAAGAGAACCGACAAATTAGAGAACTGCAACAGGAAAATAAAGGTGAGTCTCCTCTATATTGAAACTTGGAACAAAAGCAATGTTCTGCCAAAAGAAAGAAAAATGTACAGAGGTTCTCATATAATGTGTAACCTAACGGGGGAATATATTCTACTAAATTACCTTGTAGTCCTAAATATTCCCTTTCATGAGGCTAGATACTGCCACTGTTTCAGAATAATTTCAGAATACTTTTTTTAATATATGTATCATAAGCATTAATCTTGTTAGGCACTTATTGGAATCTAATGGTGATATTCTATAATTAGAAATTTACCACTTTGTTTAAACTACCATTTTCCAGTAACATCCATTATGAACAGAAGATCTAAGAACACTGATTTGTGCACTTCAAGAAACATATACTTTGCACACATAATCATAAACATTAAACTTACACCTTCATTTTTGATGAAATGCAAAACGCAGTTTGTTAACCTCCCTTTATGTGTTGTTTGCACTAATTGGTTTAGGATCTGAATTATTACTATGCTTTTGTGTAATTATAAAATTACAAAAGTTGGTAAGAGCAGTGACTGATAATTAATAGCACATTAGATTATCCAAAAGCATTAGTAATGAGTTAAGTGGAAACTCTTAATTATATTCCTAGAATTACGGACATCACTTGAAGAACACCAATCAGCCCTGGAGCTGATCATGACTAAATACAGGGAACAGATGTTTCGATTACTGATGGCCAGTAAAAAAGATGATCCTGTAATGATTACAAAATTGAAAGAACAGCATTCCAAGGTGAGCAGAGGTGTCTCTTTACACTTTACAGTCTGTGTTGGTGTACTTTGTGTTTATTTTTCTCCATTTGTCTGCAATAGGAAGTCTGGCTGTCAAAAGAAAATTCAAAACATCCTGGTCTAAGCTATAAATATGCACATTTTGATGTATGACTGTAGAAACAAGTTAATTATAGCAATTGGTATTCTCAAAACCAAATTAAATTATTTCAAGACTCCAGGACTAAATATATTTTTCTCTTTACTCAAGAGAAACAAGAAATTTCTTGTTATCTGGAGTCTTCACATAAGTACAGTGGAAGCTCACGATTAAGGGCAGTTATTTGACTGCTCTGTTTTGCCTTTATTCATAAAATGCCCTCAAATAGTGGGTTTGGATACCATCAGCTTAAATGAAAACAAACTGAAAATGTAGCTGAATAGTGAGTTGCCCCTCATTACTAAGGTAACCACAAGGTGAGATTCAACTGTAATCAGCTTTTTAAATATGCATAGAATTTCGGTTAGTTAAAATCAGAACTATTAAGAGTATTGGCCAACTTTTTGTTATGTACAACAATAACTTGCTTTTATATAGTGCCTTTCATGAGGGGTAACTTCTTGGAGCACTTGAATAATGTCATCATTCTCCACACATTCTCCAGGAACTTCAAGTACATGTGGATAAGATCAATGAAATGGCTGCAGTGATGAGAAAAGCCATTGAAATAGATGAACAACGTCTATGTAAAGAACAGGAACGAATTGTTCAATTAGAAGTAAGTAACTGAGCAGCAGTATATTTAAACTAAATAGAAGATGTATTAATGGCAATCTTATATTATTATTTTTGAGAAAGTTCTCCATTCATGAAGGCGCTGACCTGCTGGGGTATGGTTCCAAGGGTACTAGCGGTCCTCTGGTACTTTATCCAAATGGCTGAACATTGACAGGTTCTACCATAATGGGAAGACAGAGGGCTCGATAGTTTTGGAACAACTAGATCAACTGAGCTGAAGGGCCTTCTTCGACCATGAGAGGCATCACAGTCAAGTCCTCTCACGAGCACTATCAACTGGATATCAGTCAGAAACAGGAATCCAGTCTGATTTGTCATCACCAGCCCACGGGAGCCAAGGCCAATTATAGTGCCTTAATTCTAGGACAATCTTTTTAATGCACAATTAGTTTTGAATATTCCGAAAATATTGGCCTACTTGGAAGTTTTAAAAATTACCTCAACAATTGCTTTACATGCACATATTTACATGGGTTGAATTTGTTTTGTGAACCCACTGCTTCAATTGGTGTCATCAATATATAGATATATTCAGCCTGTATTCATTCCTATAGTGAAGTTCACCTCACCTACTTGAACACCCAAGTGAATGTCAGAAAACTGATCAACTTTTATGGCCTGGTTTTCACACCCACATTTTCTACCTGATTTGCGAGAATTTATAGATTTTTTAAAAACTTGTCCAGATCCTTGACCTGAATCCAACGTACTTTAAACGTCTGCTCTGTCTACATTTTACAGTTGTATTGCATTTGCAAGAATGCTTGATTTTCTTTTTTAATTTTTTTTTCCTTTGCAGCTTGAAAATCAAGGCTTGAGAGAAATTCTACAGGTAAACAAAGAATCATTCCTCTTCCTGAGGAAAGAGGACACAGAGAATACATCATTATCTGGATTAGTGACTAATTCTGACCTCAGCATGCGGAAGAGCTGAAGCCTGCTCATATCCAGAAGCTTCCATTTACTAAGCTCACTTTCAGCGCACATGAACGTTCTATTGCTGACTTGGGAGTCTGCACTTCGTGAAATATGTACAGATTTCTGTAAATTTTTTAAAAATGATAGGGGTTTCATGACTGGTTGACTGAACTGACAGTAAAATAAGAGCTCACCTTGTTTTTCTATGTGGTTGGCCAAGATAAAATGTTGTATATTTTGTTTTTGTCAATCTCATGCACTGTTTAAATACCATTATGTTCAGACCAGGGCAGCTATGGCCATATTAGATTTTCTGCCAGAAATTCAGATTAATAAATGTACATTGCTGCTGCCACCAGAAAACACCTCAGGGAAAATAAACCAACCACTAGTTCATACTTAGAACTGATTACCCCTTCTGTAGAAAGTTAATAATTTATAATGTAAAAATAACAAAGCAGATAAGACAGTTGTAGAATAGTCAAATGTCGCTATAACAAACTCAGGAGTAACTCTCCAAGGTTTTAGTTCTCTCTGTTGTACTGGGACTTGAGCAGAGAACAGGGGGAAGGTTTGTCATTGTGAAGTTTGACTAGTTCATGCTAAAAGCTCTATAGTTGGTTACATAAAATAATTTCTATTTTTTACCACGTTTTCATAACAAGATCAGTAAGTCTCAGAATGGGTTGTTGACAGAATTGCTCTATTATACACTGTCTGTGGATGTCTATATTTGTTTTAATAAAAAGAACATATTGATTAAATTGTTTGTAATATACAGGGTCCCAGTGTGATGTACTTTGTCAAATGATTCTAATCTTGCTTTTTATTCAGCAGTTTTGGAAACATTTCATAAGCTGCCGATTGAATATCTGAGTTTATTGAATGAAGCTAGGTTGGTTTTGTAGATTTAGCTACTTGTTATCTGCCTAAGAGACACTATGCAACTGCTGGCAATGGTTATGAAACTTAGAAAATGGTGCAATAGTTTGAAAACTAAAAATCATCTCAAAGTGCTTCATAGGAATACACTGAAGCCTAGCAACTATTTTATAGGCAAAGCTGCAAGCTTTTTTGATTATGTCCAAGTTATCCTACTTCAAGAGCACTTGTGTGTCAGCTTGATTCATTGGTAGTACTCTCACCTCCGAGTCGGAAGGTTGTGGGATCAAATCCCACGTCAGGACTTGATCTCACATGGTTTAAGCTGACATTCAAATACAGTGCTGGGGGGAGGGGTGTTGTAATGTAGAAGGAGAAATTAAACCAATGATCAGTCAGCCTGTTCAGGTGGATGTTAAAGTTCCCATGGCTCTATTCAAAGAGAAGGGAGTTTCTCCCGATGTCTGGCCAACATATCAACAAATAAATGTATTCCAATAACTGCTATATACAGCAGAGAATGTACTGCTATGGATCAGTTTCTTTAGCAGTTCATTTGTTTTTGTAATGATTGCCCATTGTGACATTAGTTGTTAAGCAATCCTCAGTACTACCTATTCAATGAGCCACAAGAGGTTTTCAGCCATAGCTCACCCCACTTAATTCCTGGGGCACACTTCATCAAGTTCTAATTTATGAATATTCAAACCCAGTGTAATATTTCAGCATTATAAACTTATGTATTGATTTGCTCCCTCCCAACAACAGCATGTGTTTTTTTTCTTAACATGTTGTTTTAAAGCCCCCTCCCCATCAACAAAAACACTTCAGTCCATCCCTTGCAATATTTTTAAATGTCGACTCCATTATATTTCATAAACATTCAATACAATTGACCTCTCAGCAGCCCCTTTCTCACTTACTGCACATCTGGATGTGCTCCGGAGTTTATTCCATGGCCTACACAGAGTACATAGGCACAAAAACAATCAAGCTCAGACTAATCTGTACTAACAACATTTAACTTATTCAATGAAGTCTTCCCTGCACCTATAGAAGTTACTTAAACCTATCTGTTAGCTCAGTATGTGGAGAATAGTGGGACAATTAAGATTTTCAAAACACCATTGTGATATCGTCAATATCAAAGCAATCCAAACAAGCACCATTCAATTGCACTGGAATTTTTTTTTATTTACATCTTCAATATAAAATATACACATAATGCAAGATTGCTTCATTTATTCATATTACAATCATTTCTCAATCATGGGATATTTGTAACAGATCTACAGCAGATTATTTTCCTCATTCTCTTAATAAAGTGCCAGTATTAGATTCAGAGAGTGGATGTAGGCAGTAAGCAAGGTGGGAACACAATAGAAGCGTTTAGCAAACATTCATTTCACAATTCCTTTGTAGTTTCAAATGCAACGCACCAGATTTCAGAACGACATTCACTATGAATCTTAAAATGGCGGTAAATGGCGCTTCATTCATAAATTACACTAGAGATTTGGGAAAGGTGGGACTACATTTAAGATGTTGAATAGACTGTGGTGGTGGGTGTGGGGTGGCGGGGGGCTTAAGACAAGGAGAGAAAGGATGAGGTTTTAAAAATTAAAATTGGGTCAGTCCACATTTTTCTCCACTCCTCACATATCCCATATGGACTAGTTCAATACAGTAGAAACAAAAAGGAGTCTTTATCCTTCAGAACTGTATCATATGGCTTCAGAATCTTAACGGTTTAAAAAATGAGTCGCTATAACACCAGGATAGGCCAGCCTGGACTGAAGATACAGTAGCTCTAGAAATGAAATCACTCTAACCGCACCCCTCCCCCCCACCCCCTTTCAAATTACCCATTGATTTGTTCTAAAGTGTTTGAGAGTACAAACTTTGTTAATATTGTGGATTGATGAACTATTAAAAGGCAAGAATATTCAAGTTTTTTTTTTAAAAACTTTTGTAAATAAATTGCATTTAATTTCTGGATCAGAAAATGTAACATTGTTCTACAACTTGTTGAGGTATTTAAATACAGTGCATCATTTGAAAGCCTTCAAAATAGTTTTAAAGATTGGTAAAACTTAATATAACTGCATTTGTCACTATTCAGTAATGAAACTACAATGTGGTCCAAACATTAATGCTTTAAATGGAAATTTTCTTTCATACAGAGTTTCTCAAGATATGGCACCATCACTATAGTATGAAGAGAAATGTGTTTGACCTACCATAAGAGATAGAACTAACAGTGAATTAGATTACATCCTGTGCATTCCTACACAACGGCCATCGGGACTACAAGGATTTTAAATGTAAACATCTTAGAATGCAGAGTTAATTGCAGATTAATTATCCATTGAGTAGCCAATAAACTGGAGTCCAACTGAATAGTGGGATCTGGTAGTGAAAATAAAGCACTGATTTCCAATCCCTTAAGGCACTGATAGACCATTAACACAATCTGAATGTAAATAAATATTTTTTGTGCAACTTGATAAACCAGCATATCAGAATATCACTCCGTGTAAATGCACAAATATGGTTATCTAAAGGTATTGTTTGCATACAGAAAAATAAGTATGCCACTTCTTCATGTACCAAATCAATGCAGATCTTATAAGAGCAATGGTGTGCTTTCACCTGCTGATGGCTCCTTTGTAAAGACCTGTGTAAGAAGTGTCATGGAGCTTTTCATTCGTTCTTTCAGTGGTGGAATATGGTGGCTTGGGTCAAGAATGTTGGTCTGTCTGCGCTCTCGGTCACGCTTCCAGGTTTCATATGGATTTGATGGGAACAAAGGTTGGTTTCTTTCTCTGTGAAATTGGAGCACTATACCACTTACGAACAAGACAACCCATACAGTTAGCATAATATAGTCTGTAAAAAAAGGGGAGAAAAACATAAACTTGTAATTTACTACATAACCCAATCAGATTAGCTGCAAATCCTTTTTCGCAAACCAAATCTGCACTTGACAAGTCACATTAATAACTATTTGAAGTCTTTCTGCACTTAGACCACTGAAATGAAATGGCTTACAAGATGGGCAATTGCAATGCCAAAATGACAAGTTCAGTGATGTAGTGTAGCACGTTAGCAGGTCCATCACCGGGAATATTCTAGCTGTCTCAGGAGGGGACAATAAGGTTAGCTTGTGGAAGAAGAATGCATGGCCAATGGGTCTGCATCAGTGTCAACAAATGCCAAGGAGCTGTGTCTGGCATAACAGAGGGCCAACAGAATGAGCAGTGAGCAGGGAGGAATTCCACAGTAATGCTGCTCTGAATTCTACGCCTGACAAATGTTATGGATTCCAAGAAAACCAGGAACAAAAGAATTTAATTATTTGGTGTCCCGGAGTCTTGTACTGTTCGCAACTTCATCTCAACAGAGGGAAACTATCACTGTGAACTCAGTTGGCACTCAATTGAAAATGTCTTGGCCATTCAGCTGTGTTCAGAATGTCATGCAGATATTTGCCAGCTCTGGAGAGAGGAGAGAATATATTCTTTGGCTCAGCTGGTTGCGTTTATACTGTGAAGTGCTTAAAGGAGTCATGTCTAGACATTCCCCTAAGACTGTATACTTGTTAATGTTTTGTCCCACAGAATACACAGTCACTACATTTTACAGTATATTCTGTGAAGCGCTTTGAGACGTCCCGAAGACATGATAAGGCGCTCTATCAAATGCAAGGATTATTATTATTATTACCATTCACGTTTAACTAACACTACTGCCAAGACATTTAGTTTATTATAATTAAGTTCTTGTAAGCATGGGATCAGAATTTTCTTGTTCTCTTTACACATAATTCCTGACCTTGGTCATTAATGAATTGGATTACTGCAAACAATCACAATTGACTGAAAGAGCAGAACTGAAATGAATTGTAAGGCCTGCATTTCTAGAATGAGCTTGATCGTTAAAACAACGAATTACATTTGTATAGTGCCTTTCATATCAGGAGGACGTCCCGAAAAGCTTTTAGCAAATTTTAATGATTATCCAATAGCCAAAATAATATGTACATATGAATTGCTGCCCTGTACAATCTACTTTCATGTTCAACATTCAAATATATTTTTATGACTATTTATTCATTATCTGGGAAGCTGCAGACAGCAAAACAGTTAACTGAATATAGACAAATCCCTCAACTGCTTCTCAGACCTTGTGATTTCTAGACATTAAGTTGCTTGTTAGTCGATTGGCGGATCGCTTTCCGGGGGTAATAATCCCTTCCAAAAAAAAGGGGTCACTCAATCCATGACTGAATGTGGGATGTCACTGTGCGCAACTGGCTGCTGCATTTCGTGCACAAAATACAGTCACTACACTTTACAGTGTACCCTGTGAAACCCTTTGACGTCTCAAAGACATGATAAGGCACTATATCAAATGCAAGATTTATTATTATTATTAAGTTCTTTGCAATTTTAGAAAATTCCATGGTTGCATTACATATTATGCATTTCATACTTACCAAGCATCTGGAAGGGTACATTAGTATAGGCTGTGTTGAAATTATCATTCAATGCCCGCTTGATAATATTCAGTGTGATATAGGCGAGACTGGTGTAAACAAAACTGTTGATGGCTAAAATAACAGCGTAGGAGCCAACAAATCCACAGGTTGTTATGTTCAGCTGATTCACAAAAAATAATAAGGCAAATGAAATTTACAGAGCAACTTAATGAAACTTAAGTCACCAAATTTGAGCATTTCATTTAAAGGCCTAAGGTCCTTTAATCTTTTCATTCAAACTGACTTGCTTACATCATCATCATCAATATAACAAGATACTTACTGCTCTTGGATATTTAATGAAAGGCAGAGGTACAAGAAGAACCACACATAGGAATATCACCCAGAAGATAGAATCAACATGAAAAATCTTCAAATATCCTGGAACAGACAATTACTTAAGTTATTATACAAATACTGATTTCTATACCGGTTAAACCACAACAATGTGGATAGCATTTTATTGCTAATTCGCGAAGGAAGCAAAAGCTGCTTCTTTTCTTCCCAAGAAAGAAAGTTTGTGAAGAGTGAGCATATGCAGGAAACAAAAAAGGCCTATTGCATGCGTGCACAGTGACACAGCCCATATCACAACAGAGTTATAACCAAATTCACACCATAAAGAATTGCATCATAATCAGCTGAATTCTTGAGTGAGGGGGGAATGAAGCAACAGAGTGTTGGCAGTACAAAAAAACTGCCTACCTTTTGCCATCTTACAGAAATAACGAGCGGATCTATAAATAATCATATTTAGCATAAATAGTGACAACAGTGTATGTTAGACTTAAATATGGAAAATTGGTTGCAGTTTGGGGTTCCCCCCCTCATTATATAGAAAGGTGAACATGGAGAGGGTCCAGTGGGATAATATCTGGGAAGAAAAGTTTGTTTTGAGAGAGAAAGAGAATTATGAACAGTTTGGGACTTTTTTTTAACTGGAGAGTAATACCAGGAAAGCATCTAAGCTTTTCAAAATTATGAATGAGGATAAAAATGGAAGAAAGGGTGATGGAGGAAGAGAATGAACATTTACTAGATAATAATTTGGGGAGGACAAGTTTGCAGGGCTGCGGAGAGAGAGCAGGGGAGTGGGATTGATTTGGAAGCTCTGTTCAATGAGCCAGCACAGACACGATGGGCCAAATGGCCTCCTTCTGTGCTGTATAATTCTATGATAGTCAGTAACAAGAAAGTCTGAATATATATATATAATAAATAACTGTTAAAATAAATCTATAGTATTTAAGGAAATTGGAAATAAATACTTCAATAAAGGTGTGAAAAAATAGGAGAATGAAGTCGATCATTCCTTTGTAGACGACACAAGCACAGACATGATGAGATCAAAATGCTTTCTGTATTGCAAAAGATTCTATGATTCTTCATATAAAACTAGTCATAGGAAAAGGACATGGAAATTCCAAGAGAGACCGCGATGAGTCAAGCACACGTTTCCTTCAATACTCACCGAACGGTGTAAAGAAGAACAAAGATGAACATAGAAATCCAAACACTAATCCCACCAGTGCCATACAGAAGACAACTGATCCAGATCTCCACCAACACGTCAGCAACAGGCTGCCACCAACAAACCCTACAAGTGCTGCCAGGCCCAAACGGACTGAAACAGGAAGGACTTTGATGAGCAAGATTGCAATTTCAAAGACATCCACACGCAGACTTTAAAAAGTGCTTTGACCAAGAAAACACACACACACACACACACACATCTGTGCCTCAAGTACACAGTACAGGAATTTGAGATTTCCAATGCCTAATGGATGAAGCATCAGACTTTAAATTACCATCCCCATGGAATCAGTGAGCCAAGACACTGCTCTTTCATACAATTAGATAGAATGTGCAGCACTGAAACAGACATCAAAACAGGCTATTTGGCCCAAATAGTCCATACCAGTGTTTATACTCCATGTGAACCTCCACCCATCCTAATCCCCTCTATTCCCTTCTCCTTGCATGCTTTCATTCAGAACGAGTGTTTATCCCCGGTTTAGCGCAATGACAAAAGCTTTCCTCTCTACACATTCTCTAGGTGTTCTTTATGGAATAGGTTGTTTATAGAGTGATATAGTGGGTACAGAAGACCAGTATCTCAGACACCAAAGTTAGATGAAATGTGAAACAAAGTTATAAAACAAAAAATCCCGAGAGTGAAAGTAAGACATTGGAACAATGGTAACTAAAAAGTGCACACTGCAAATGTAAATGAAGCTATAGTCAAATCCTTTATGGGATTAAAGCTACATTACCTAACCCAATTAATAGTCCCATGCAGTGGCAAATAGCTGAATTGCAGTACTGAAGGCAGCATTATATAGTTCTATTCACACATTGTGTTTTGTATTTTGGTACACAAATAGTATAGTGATCAACTAAACCCATTTTCTCCTACGTTTACCAATTAGTATCTCAGCCATTGTAAGTGCCTCTAATAAAAATGGGTTTATTAGATTTAAAGCCGTTCAAGATGGCTTGAAAGTCTTCAACTGGTTATGCACAAACTTCATATAATTTTAGATTTTAAATCTTAAATTTTAAACCTTAATTTGTACTTTGAACTGAATGAAAGACCATCATTCCTCAACTCAATGCTAATGTCTTATTCATGAAAAAGTTCACTTACTATCATAATCCAAGGATGTTGTCCTTGTAATCAAAACAAAGAACAAAAAGCTTGACAAGATGAATCCAATGAAGAATAATTCTGAAAACAGACACATTTACTTAGCACTGAATAATACAAAAGCAAAAGATTATTCGTGTCTGTTATGCTCCACAACTCGAAAGACATTTTAAACTTAATTTATACTTTAAATCTGCAATTCTGCACACCTTTTGCGATTTAAAAAAATGATTACAACTCACGTTTGCTTCGATAGAAACCTCTATAGAGAGGAAATCTTTAGCTGGAATTGAGTAAACACAACTTTTATATAGAGAACCAAAAATGAGTGGCTGTATTAGATCTGTATAAGTTTTGGGTAAAAATATTAAAAAGTTATAAAACCATAAATGTTATAATTCACTGCACTGGAAAAAAAAGTGCATACTACTTTGACTACCAGAGTCTCAAATTCCACTAACATAAATATTGAATCCACGACTGTTTGTGGGACACTGCTGTGCGCAATTGGCTGCCGTATTTCGCCCACAAGATATACAGTCAATTCACTTTGCAGTAATATTCTGTGAAGCGCTTTGAGATGTCTCAAAGACATGATAAGCCGCTATATCAAATGCAAAGAATATTATTATAATATAAAAAGTCACTCCCCAGGTTGAAAAGTTGCAGCAATTTGTGAGAAAATGTGGAAAGGCATGGTATTACTGTATCAAAAGGACATGTAGAAAGAATAACCATAAGCAACAATCATGCAATATTTCTGCTGTGATACTCAATCACTGTTCTGTTCCTTCACAATTTTTGCTATTTGATGATTGATCATTGTAATAATGGGTTAAAACTGAGGTCTAGAAGTTTTATATCTGTAAAACAGTAGACTACAGACAAACACTCACCAACTTTCAGAAATCTATGCCCAAAGAAGCATATAAATAATCCAGCAAATCCAACAGACACAAAAAGTATTCTTGTCGATATTCTTTCTGAAAATGGAAAAATAACTCAATTTTAAAGATACCCATGATTTATGATTAGTAACTTTGAAATTCAATTCTCGGAAGTGAGTAATTTAACCATTGCTGGCCTTAATACAAAATGCACCAGCTTTAACCACAGCATTTACATTTTAACTCCAAAGACTTAAGCAAGAACGCTATAAATTTTGTCTAGAGACGCTTGCAAAACCAATTCAGTTAACACCTAAAGGGCAACGTGTGGGCAGATGCAATCAAACTAGGCTTTGAAAAACAGTGAGATAAGAATTGTTAAATTCACACAAAAAATTGCTTTAAGAACAATTGCCAGTGCATATTATTAAACAACACAACTAAAGAGGACTATAAAGGATATCTAGCGAAAAGTCAACACAGTAAGTTAGTTGCATCACACTTCAATATAGAGGGAAAAATGCTCCTTACACACACAGTTTTTCTTTTTTTTCTTAATAATGTGAGTTCGCTTACAGCATAATTGAGGTGTGTACCTCGACATTCACTTACCAAAATAACTGAGCCAGCTTTCTGTATACATGCACAGAAAGTGCATTAGTACCAATTAATGATTGCACAGCTATAATACTGGTTGGGATTTTATGGGATCTCTAACAAGTTATGATGAGGCTTTTTAGTACTACAGTAACAACACAACTGGTATAATTGTTCAGTTAGCACTGTAGCCAATTTTGTGTTATGCCAAATTATCTGTAGATTATCCATAATTGCTCTTGTGGCTCTGTGGCCTTCCAGTAAACTTTTTTAGATTCAAACTATAATTCTATAAATTGTATAATGGCTTATGTTTGGTCATCCCATTATTGGGCCAAATGAGTGCATGAAGTCTGAGCATGATATTTTTATTTTGAAGAAAATGTTAGCTTTGCGGATGGGAATGAAGTGCAATGAAAAAGCTAGCGGATGCTTTTAAAGCCACAGGCAAATACAAAGAAAATACCACAAATTTTATCATGATCATGTATCAATTTAACATTTAACATTTAACATGGTTAGACACACACATTCAAATATTAATTAAATTCCTAAGTCAATACTTACTTAGAGTATAGCAATTGTCCATTTTTGCTGTGAAGCTGCAGGCATACGTATGAACTGGTATATAAGGTGCAGATGTGTTTAGTATTAGATCCCTGACAATAATGTTATAAATCACCCCTTGGCCTGGGATAGAAGATAAGGTCACACTCTTCTTATCTTGTGAACTCAAACTTAGCAACTAAAAACAGAAAAACAAACAGGAAAACATCAAAGTCATAATGGTTTCTTCTTCCTCAACCTCAGCTTGAAGTGCATCAACTATATGCCTAGAAGAAATAATTTGCCAAATTTTACCTTTATTTTAAAATAGGTCAAATAGATATTTAAATATTTAGCTCCAAGTATAAAAGAAAAAAATATGATTTTTTCCAAGTAAAGGGTAAATCATCACTGTACTTTATATTGCCAGGAGCTCAATTTCTCAACACTATTAATGTTGAATTTCTTAAACCAACATAGCATCCCAGCTTTAGGTTACTTTTGTTACAATTACAACCATTTCCTCCCAGCCCTGTCTTATATTGTACATGCAAAGTCTATAGAACAGATATCACTTGAGATTACCCCACGCTTTGTTGAAGGCAGATAAAGACTTTTTGTTAAGAACATCTATGAGATTGCAAAAATATGAAGCCCAAAATGTAATTTGGTGTTTAGGCTATAATTCCATTTGCCTTAAAGATTGAGCAGAATTGTCAACATTTCTTAATTAAAAAACAGTTTTTTTAAGAATTGAAGAAAACCTAGCTTCCAGAGCACAGTTGGATTTATGCATTAATTAAGTGGGTGGGGGAGGGAGAGGGAAATGAGAACAAATAGAGTGCAAGAGTAAGAAAGATTAAAGCTTTGCACCCTTTCTAATTAGCTGCATTTCCTGAGAACAGGACGTTGTGCTGAGTCTGATTATGAGTGGTAAGTTTTCAGTTGTCCAATTTCACTTCCTTTCCCAAAAAATATTTACGGACGTACCCAAATGCCATCTTCTTCTATTTGCTGTACATGGGCCATCTTCGGAAGCAAGGTATAGATAACATCTTCACGAAGGTTATTCTCTGGCATGAAATACTGATAGATATCGTATCTTAGTCTGTAGTTTTGACCGGAATCAAAATCACAGGAGGGTGTAGATATTCCCCTGTAATACAGAAAACATTATAAATTACCTTTAAAATGTCTGGATAGAGACAACAATCAAATAGCCTCAACAACTTGTATTTATATAGTGCCCTTCACACAGGCCAAGGACTAAATGCTTCTATCCTCCTATAGATAAGATGATGAAGGACCTCCTGTCCTCATGTCACATTAGAAGGACCAAAGGTCTGCAAAAAGCCAATATGCTGTTATTTTGAATTCTTCCAACACCTACACCAGATCCTTCAAAGGTGATTACGCCTCGTATATCCACGGTATCCACCTTGATGTGTCGGCAGAGGTAAGCGGATCCTGTTCAAGTTCCACACTACCAACTGGTAAAACCACCTCTCAATGGTTTGGGAAATACCTCCAAGTTGTGGGCAGGAGGATTCTCATGCAGTTCACTGTTCTCACGCATTTCAGACTTCCTCACACCTCGTTCCATTTCAAATCACTTCAAAAGCTTAAAACAATCACTTTTGATTTTACTGAAGCACCAAATGAAGAAGTGGCAGCAATTATAGGGGCTTTTTTTAAAAAAGTACGTTAAAACAAAAGCAAAACTGAATTTTTAGATTGTCACAAAAAAAAGGACTATTGTACCTGGGATAACCAAGATTAGCTGGTACAAACTTCAATATTGCTTCATATAGATTATATTGCAGATACAGGTTTGGATCGTGAGTCAAGTCAAATCCCAGATTACATCCACCAGGTACCGGATCTGCCAAAGAAATGTTAACAACAAATGAATCCAACAGCAAACCCTCAATTATAGATCAGTTACAGAAGTTGTGTTTCAAACAAAATTACATTTTATAATCCTTAAATCAAAACACCTCAAAGTACTTTACAGTAATTACTTTCAAGTGTAGGGACTGTTTACATGTATACACAGAAAGGTCCTACAGCTCTGTCTATACAGCATGTTCCATTATGTTGCTATTTTGGATAGTCTGCTCCCTTTGCTTATCTAGATGGAAGAAAAAGAGAGGCTTTGACTCAAAGCCTGGGATATGCCACTGACTTGAACTAAATTGAATTGTTTCAGTGTTGGGAGAATTGATTATTTAAAAATCAAAAAAGTGAATTGCATCACAAGAGAGAACATTTTAGGGTTGAAGCATGGTTACGGAAAAGCTGGTTCCAATGTGCCACTGTAGAATTAAATCACTGAACAACTGAATCTTAAAATGAACAACAACAACAACTTGCACTTATATACAGCCCTCCATACAGGGTAGCATCTCAGAGCGCTTGACACTATCCTGCGTGGAAAAATCAAGTCATCCGTTGAACATTTAGGCTGATTTCTGGGAATCTGAATCACCACAGTCTTACCTATGTAGGCCAATAGCAGAGCTAAATGTTTTTTCCACAGATGGGTGGAGTGCTTAGAAAAAAATAACCACTTCCTGAAATATCTAAAGATTATTGCATTGAAAAATGAGGCGAGATCATACCTTTGTGGTGGCTGGTATTTATGAGAATTATGTTTTCTCAGATTAGCAACCTTTATATTATCAGTTTACAAAGTGCGATTCGCAGCGATGTTGCTAGCCACAAGAATTTGCACGTTTGAACAGTTGAACAAATATTAAGGCATTTTAAGTAGATATCTGTCAACTGTCAATTTTATATTGGATTTTGAGGTTTAAAATGGTCACATTGCCTCTGCTATTTTGAACCCTTGCTACTCCATGGTTCTAATAGGATATTAATGCACCTAGTGATGGAATCTACAGTTTTTAAATCACCTCGGGAACAAAACTCAGAAGACATTCTAAAAATCTGCTTCTATTTTACATACTCAAATTAAGTCCAAAGCAATAATTTTTAAAAAGAACACAATTCAACTATACTACAGAGTGTCAAACTGTTATGAGATCACAAGCCTGGATTTCCAGTTGCACAAACCTGCAATTTGGCAATTATTTCTTAAGGTAAGTGAAAAGTTGCCAGGATTCTTGGACTTCAATCAATGTAAATATATGAAGGGGCTCCAGCAGCTAAATCTAGTAACTAAGTTACATCTGGTTGGTACCACTTTTGCCTTTGGGTCAGAAAGTTGAACTTCACAGCCCTCGTCTTGAGTTCATAGGAAAGCTGGAAACAACACACATGGCAACCAAATGACCTTAAATCATCACAAAAGACATCTGGCATATGTGAAAAGGAACTCAGGCTGTGCACAACATGTACAGGAAACGCGGTCTACACTGTAACTGTGTCATAATCAAATTCGCACCTTAAAGAAACAGGTTGCAATGGGGCAGCGTTCTATCAAGTGTCAACCACTCTTGCCTCAGAGATAAACAACAAGATTACATTTGTATAGCGCTTTTCACGTCGGGAGAATGTCCCAAGGCGCTGGACAGAGTACAGCATTTCTGACCCGAGCTGGGGGACGGGGGGGACGGGGGGGGACGGGGATAGCCGAAGGTATGGTCGAAGAGGAGGGTCTTGAGGCGGGACTTGAAGGAGGCTAAGGAGGGGGTGAGGCGGAGTGACTGGGGATGGAATTCCAGAGGTTGGGGGAGGAGGGGCTGAAGGCTCTCCCGCCAATGGTGGGGCGGGTGGGTCGGGGGACGTGGAGCAGCCAGAGCCGGCTGAGTGGAGGGAATGGGCGGGTTGGTAGGCGGTTAGGAGGTTGCAGAGGTAGGGTGGGGCGAGGCCATGGAGGGCTTTGTATGTGAGGACCAGGATCTTGAACTGGATCCTCTGAAGGATAGGGAGCCAGTGGAGTTGGGCGAGAATGGGGAAGATGGTGTCACGGAGTTTGGTGCGGGAGAGGACACGGGCTGCAGAGTTCTGGATTATCTGCCGCCTGTGGAGGGAGGAGTTGGGAAGGCTGACAAGCAGGGCGTTTGCATAGTCGAGCCTGGAAGTGATGAAGGCGTGAACAAGAGTTTCAGCGGCCTGAGGGGTGAGGTAATGGCGGAATCGGGCGATGTTACGCAGGTGAGGGAAGGCAGAGCCGGTCATGGCTTGAATGTGGGGGAGAAAAGACAGTTGAGGTTCCTGACTGGCGGTGAGTTGTAGTGTGCAACCATGGAGGTTGATGTTGCCAGAGCCTGAGGTGCAGAGGCGCTGGCGCGAGGCAATCAGGAGGGCCTCAGTCTTGTTCACATTCAACTGTAGGAAACTTGCCCTCATCCAGGACTTGATGTCCGACAGACAGTCTATCAGGACAGCAGTGGGCCTGGAGGTGAGAAAGTTGTGGATTGAAACCACAGATTGAGACTTTGAGTTTATAGTTTAGCTGATACTCCAATGCAGTGCTGAGAAAGCATTGCATTCTCAAATGTGCTATTCTTAGATGTTAAACCAAGGGCCCATCTGCCTGCTCAGACAGGTATTAGATTCCATAGCACTCTTTGAAAAGAGAAGAGATTTTCTTCTTATGTCCTGGCCAATAAACCCCCACATAAAATATTGGTCATTTGTTTCCTGCCTCCACATGTCACATTGCTTTATGCAGTGTTTGTTATAAATACACAGTCACCACACATTACAGAAAAAACTGAAATGCTTTAAGATGTTGTGATGTGATAAGACACTTATTATCCATTACAGGGATTATTAATTCAACCCGTTCAAGCAACCACCTCCATTCAGTAACCACTCACTGTTAGCACCCAGCCTGGAACAGCCCAGACAGATTTGGAATAATAAACCACCTCTTTTCAGGAACCACCCATATAAAGCACAACAAGAGGCCGAACTTTGTTAGTCCTTTTACACCTTGTGCCTTTGTACCAACACCCTTTTCTGAGGCGAAGCTTTCTGGGAAACAGTCAGAAAATAGCCAGCGACCACCAGAAGACCACGTGGACTTCTCCAGCAAACAACAACAAAATTGCATTTGTATAGCGCCTTTCACGTCGGGAGGATGTCCCAAGGTGCTGGACAGTCAGTGTTTCGGACCCGACAACTTGTGATTGTAATTGAATGATCTGTAAATATTTGTAATCTTTAATTTATACAAAATTAATTTCAATTCATGGGTCTAAAATACTGTACACTGTCCAGCGCCTTGGGATGTCCTCCTGACGTGAAAGGCGCTTATACAAATGTAATCTTGTTGTTGTACATGCACTATATTTTTCTGTACACTTAGAAATTCTACACACCACCAATGAACCCTTACTCAGATTACACCTTTATATAAAGGCTACAATGGCCTTAATCCCCTGAGCAATTGTTGAAGACAGCTTTGACTGTAATATACACAGATAGAATTCTCACAAGTTGCACCACAATATCACTGGAAAGTTGGCCGAAAGAAAAACAACCACGTTTATAAATGAGCTTTGCTAGGACTATGTGACAGTCAAGTCTAACCTTTCTCGTTATAAGGCAGAATGGCAGCAGATGCAGAGACACTTTGATTGAATGAATCTACATACAACACTGATGTGCTTTGTTTAGGCTTCAACCTGAGGAGCAAGCCAGTGTCTTCACCAGTTTTTGACGTTTCTCTTGTAGAAATCTGAAAACATGAAACAAATCTTATTTTTTAAAAAAGTAAACATCAGGATTTAATTAGGATAACAAAGCAACTTTATAGTCAGACAGTTTAAGATTTAAGCCTGGGTTTTCAAGACACTAGGTTTTAAAAAAACATATTAAATAAATCTATTGATAATTCACATAGATCTGATTATCGTTTTCTTCAATAAATACATTTATTGAATGCTCGTCTAGTGAACCAAATATTGGACATGTTTTTTCACCTAGTTCAGTCCAATTTATTTTCCAAATGCAGGATACATCAACTCAACACTAGAATCATTTTGTGAACAGAGATTTGCACTTTAATGTTGCCTGCAATTACTATCATTAGATCTTGACATAGATAGTAATGTGACAGCCAGTAGCTGTTGTTGATCAGTAGACATAACAAGTGTAATGTTCAACTGTAACAAGTGGTAACATTTTAGAAAAATCCTGGATTATTACAAAATATGACATACCTTATTAAAGGAAATAGTTGTATTGGTATGTTGTGTGTGCACTTGAAAGATGATGTACGTTACGTTTTCTGGAATATTCTGTAAAATGGCTTCAAAGGATACATTCTTGATTAAGTATATTTCTTGAAATTTTCCAAGCGAAAATTCAATTAGACCTGTGAAAGAGAATCACAGTAAATAGCTGCTGCACATCTACATTTCACTGATGTACAACCACATGATAGTGAAGAGTTTCATTGAGCTGAGCACATATCATATACAGAAACAGGTAAAAACTAAATTTAAAAAAAGCAAAGACAACTGGAAAATACAGAAAACATGGATGGGCTTTCCGCAAATGTTTCAGAAAAAAATTCCCAGTGATTACTGAACCTTTTTCCAACCCAACAATGTAACCACGAGTAAATGTCCCGTCAACCATATTGTGACGATACTGTGGGGAATGCATGAGCTATAACCCAGTATACTGTTAATAGACAGAGTGAGAAACTTAAAGCACTGACTTTCTATTTTGAAGGAATTAATGAAACAGGTGAAGTTTCGACAGCCAAAAGGGTTTATTAGCCTGACCTGAATACCCGGGCCTGCTATTAACTAGCCCTAAAAAACTGGAACACTGAAGAAACCAAAAATCAATACAAATTGAAGAGCATCTGAATAAAAATAACCAACATGACTTCAGAAGGACAGACCCTGCCTGATCAACCCACACACTTTCTAAAAGGAAATCACATTCTCAATTGACAGTAGGTTTGATCAGACAGACAACTGACACACAGAAATCAATCACTAATTTGCACAGAAGTCTCCAAATCAAACAATAATAATAAAATAATCCATGCATTTTGATATAAAACTCTGCACGTCTTCTAGACGTCTTAAAGTGCTTCACAGAACATACTGTAAAGTGAATTAACTGTATATTTGTGAGCGAAACAGAGCAGGCAATTGCGCACAGCAGTGTCCCACAAACAGTTGTGGATTGAAGTGACCAATTTATTATTGTTTTTTTCTTGAGGGATTATTATCAGGCGTGTGGAGTAAGGAAACTTGCCCAAGGTTTCACCCTCCCGGGAATCAAACCCAGGTCTCTCGCTTGCGAGGCGAGTGCTCTAACCACTGAGCTACAGGACTCCACTTCTGAGAACTACTGGGAATTCCACATATAGATTGCTTTGTATGGAGTACACACTCTCTCCCCACCATCAACTTACCCTGATCCTCGTGTGATGGGAATATAAAATTCTCATCCAGCTCCTGTTCAAGCGGGCAAGCATCAGGAATCCTGCCAAATAGTGCTCTCATTGGTAAACTATGCGCTTTAGCAGATTAAGGAATAGGTTTGCAAGAGACAAGCCCTTTGTGGTACTGTTGGAGGTTAACCAGCTAAAACCTTTTACCTTGTCAAGGTGGGTGGGTGTGGCGGCGGCGGAGTGGGGGGGGGGGGAGAGATAATGCAGGCACATTTGCAGAACAAAATCTATGTTTGAAGTCTAAAGATTGATTTTAAAGTCAAAGAAACCTTGTGATTACATTTATAGCTCAACATTGCCAGGGGCAAAACAGCTCATTACAAATTCACACATGATCAGATTTTACAGCATCTTCAATACTCTGTCCCAAAGTCTGCACTCTTAACAGAGGCTTCCTTATTTGAAAACTAATTTTGTCTCATGATCGTATGAAGCAGCTGATTACATTCCATGATTATAGCCAAAAAATGTCACATGATATAACAAGACAGACAAAAGCGTACTTTTCAATTCTCTCTGATACATGCTTAGAATTCTTCAAAACCAGTAATAGAAATCCCTAACTATTATAGATTTATAGATCAGTATAGACAACCATATTGCACTTAAAATTCCTTTAAAGAAGTTAATTCTAATTCAATATTTCTGATGGTCTAAACAGGTTTAAAGATATTTTGTATAATACAGCATGATAATATGACCATATTAAAACCCAATTCATATACAGTATACATGAGCCTGAATCTGCCCAATACTGCTTCTTACATTAAATTGAGACTTATCAAAACCAACCCAGAGCTAATCAGTTTATTTCCATATGTTAATGCTAGTGAACACAGTAATTGGATGACACCTATAACTGAAATGGAGAAAGCAGCATTTCTTTTTTAAAAAATACAGGATACAATAAGTGTCAGATACAGAAAATAAAATAGTCTGAGTTGATTAGATTTTTGATAATGGTTTACTTCCCCAAGTGAGTTTCTTGACATCCACAGATTCTCTAATATTAAGAATGAAAAGTTTTTAAAAATTATACACAAGGATGGATTAAGTCAAGCATTAGTAACAGTTAGCATAAAACACATTAGCATTTTACACTACCACTACACAATGTTTGATGATCGTAGCAATGATAGAAGGACTGCAGCTCTACCTTATATTATCTCTAATCTTACCAAGATGTAAAACAGTCTCACGAACAATTTAGGTATATAGTATCATAACCTTACGCATCAGTTGCTCTCACTATTTTCTTGAAGCTCTGAGGTGCTAACATTTGACCAGCATCTTTAAAATGTTCCGATCAATTTAGAGACTCCAAAAATAAGGAAGTTCACTTGCTATTTAGACAGTTTCTCCTGATTAATATCCTTCCCCATCCAATTTCACGGAAAGCAAGATGTAATTTGTTTCATTTTTGGTGGAATGTTGCTGGCACAAACTCGCAGTCACATGTGTCCACTTAATATCTGCTTCACTGCAAGTTACATTTTGTGAAAGACTTTCGAGACATTGTTTTATATAAAAGTTGTTCTGGAACTGGCGAATGCTTCAGCTCTCACTTTTTGAAAGCAATTGCAGAATAGAGGTTATCATTAGTCTAACGATAAACAATAATAATCCTTGCATTTGATATAGCGCTTCTCACGTCTTCTCGACGTCTCGAAGCGCTTCACAGAATACACTGTAAAGTGAATTGACTGCATATTTGTGGGCGTATCACGGTAGCCAATTGCGCACAGCAGTGTCCCGCAAACAACTGTGGATTTAGAGTCCAAATTATTATTTTTTTCTTGAGGGCTTATTATCAAGCGTGTGGAGTAAGGAAACTTGCACAAGGTTGCGCCCTGCGGGAATCAAACCCAGGTGTCTTGCTTGCGAGGCGAGTACTCTTGACCACTGAGCTGCTGGACTATTATTATCTAAAGCAAAATGAACTGAAAAATTCAGAATTCTAGTAGTTCATACTTCAGAGCATTTGGATCAAGTTAGAACTGGTTAGGATCAAGTCAGAACTGGTTAGGATCAAGTCAAGTATGGGATTGGTGCACATTTATTATAGGTCACTTCACAAGAGGCGAAATGGAAACTCCCATAAAAATCACCTTCTCAAAACAAAAAAAAAATCCAACTTAATGGAAAGCAAATAATCAATAGCATTGAACTTAAAATCCAATCTTGACAAGCGGAACCTCTCATTTGATGCACAGGAATACAATGTCACAACTCAAAGCACTTCTTCCAAAAAAATTACGAAACTCCGAAGTGCAGACAACTATTATGTAAGCAAACAACTGCAGTAGTACCCTCCCCAGAGAGGAAGGCAATGGTGAATAAGCCTCTAGTCAACTCGTGCTATTAAATCTTGACATCCACCTGATCTTGATCAAGATAAGATGCATTTTATATCAATTCAACATTCTCAACAAAATTCGCCCACAAACATACAGTCAATTCACTTTACAGTATATTCTGTGCAGCGCTTTGAGATGTCTGGAAGACATGAAAGGCACTATATTAAATGCAAGGATTATTATTATTATAACTTGGGTCAGCAATCAGTTCCACATGAACATTGCTGTGGTGTTGGGGAGTTCTAATCTGCAGTTCCCCTTGTAGTTTTTTTAAACAGTTCAAAACCTTTTTTTTTAGTTCCGCTCCATATAATAGGAATTTAAACGGTGTCAACCTGGAATTCTCACTTTCAGTCATATATTCCATTTGGCTGGATACCAGAATTCTGCTTTGACTTTTGTTACCCTATAGAACTAAAGATGTGGTTTTTTTTGGGGGGTTGGGTTTGTACATGAAACATACAACTTCTGCTTGTGAAATGGTAACAAACAATCCAACCTTCAGTAGTACTCTCAAACAAGTTTACAGAATTTGTCTGACTTGATCCAACTCCAATTTACAAGTGAATCTCATTTAATCTAGTTCCTCGATTCGCACGCACAACTGTAATACCAGACAGGTCATGTTCCTGGCCAGTAGTGTATATTAATAATAAATAATAATAAAGCATTAAAAATAAAGCAACAGAAGCAGAATTTAAAGCCCAACTTCACCTGTATAAGCCGTAACACTGCAGTGCACATTTTTTTTTAAAAATACTACCAATTCTTACCACTTTTAATCAACTTAATATCAACTTTTAAATGAAAGAAAATAAACTTAGTGGCGTCTTGCTGATGTGCCAAACACGCACCTTTTGGGGTTGTGGGCTATTGAGGACAATTAACGCACCTGAGTGAGTGTAGGTGACCCCCTGCCCCAGAAGAAGAGCGAACAGCAGCATAAAGTGATGCCAGGTGGAGGAGACATCAATGTTCCCCAGGTCCACCACCTCCTTTGCTCTTATGTCGACTGAACCCATCTCTTTAGGTAACGTCCAGTTCTCTCCAAGGCCACCCTCCAGGCTGTTGCTCACCCTTTAGGTGAATCGAGTCGAAAATGTGCTCAGTGTTTGTTGCCACATGTTGCGAGCAGTTCTCTTTCTGTTTGCACAGACTCTTCTCCTCTATGCTTCTCTCTCTCTCGTCTTTCTCCCTTCGTTAACAAGCCTAACTTCCTCTGGTTTACCCCACAGATAAATCGGAGATGATGCATCACCACAGCTGCTATCCTATTAAACACAACACAAGATCCAGCCTCCTGCCCCTCCTCTCAAGAAAAAAAATATAGCACGCACCCAAAACTTTTTGGGGATTTTATGGGCAAGGTGCATCGTGTTTCGGAATTTGTACCAAAGCACGACTTGAAAAAAATGTCACAAGACAAGCTATCCAATCTCTGAAAGTGATTGCCAGCTTTAAAGTGGAAGTTGCTATTATATTGCTTTCAGCTGCTGGCTGCACAATATTATGAGCCCCAGCTGTATGAATATTTAGCCAATATTGTGCCTATGGGTCGACACTTACAAACATATTAATTCCCCCCATTATATTTGTTCGCCCGCAATGCTGCACCACTGCACTTACACCAGCTATATTTTCGGATCGTTTTTATTTTTGCCTCATGGACAAGCATAACACTAACCAGTCTCAATACCAAATATAAAATGAAAGGACGTTGTAGTAGATAAAAGATCTAGATGCCGAACATAGAACAATGACATTGCGTCCAAGCACCTTTAATGTACCTTGGTGTCCCCCGTAACTAGCACTTAACAATGAAATCCCCTGTATAATTACTGTAACGTATCTATTAATGGTAATAAATAAAATAATAGATAATAATAATAAAATGATTTGGTCATTCAATACACAACTGTTTGTGGGACATTGCTGTGTGTAATTAGCTGCAGTGTTTCAACCCCAAATATACAGTCACTACACTTTACAGTACTTTACAGATAACTGTGAAGTACTTTGAGACGTCAATGACGTGATAAAGCACTATATCAAATGCAAGAATTATTATTAAATGATAACACTATGACTGTAGCAGTGTAAATCATTCCAACGAAAGAACTTTAATTCTTTCAATTTATTAGCACCTTTCCACATTAAAATATTCCATTAATCCCTGCCTCGCCCTCTCTGTGTCTGTGTGAGTCTCTGTCTCTGTGTATGTCTGTGTGTGTGATTCGCTCACTGTCTGTGTCTCCGTGTGGGTCTGTCTGTGTCTCTGTGTGTGTCTGTGTGTCTCTGACTGTCTGTGTATGTGTGACTGTCTGTGTGTGTGTCTCTGTGTGACAGTCACACACAGACGTCTCCGACCTACTATCCCCCTCCCTATCCGCCCGTACCCTCCGTTCCTCTGGCTCCGGTCTGCTCCACACCCCCCGCCCCAACCGCCCTACCATCGGTGGTCGGACCTTCAGCCTCTCAGCCCCGAGGCTCTGGAACTCCATCCCCAGTGCCTTCGCCGCTTCCTCCCTTTCCTCCTTCAAGGCCGGTCTCAAGACCTTTCTCTTTGACCTTCAGCCTTCACCTCCCCTCTCGACTCTCTACCCCTCCTCGCTCCCTCCCTTCCCTCCCCTCACTCTGACCATTTCCCCCCAATGCTCGGGTCCTGACCCAACTGTACAGCGCCTCAGGACGTCCTCCCGGCGTGAAAGGCGCTCTATAAATGGAATCTTGTTGTTGTTGTGTGTGTGTGTGACTTTCTGTCTGTGTGTGTGACTGTCAGTTTGTGTGACTGTCTGTGTGTGTGTGACTGTGTGTGTGTGTGGCTGTGTGTGTGTGTGTTGGGGCTGTGATTGGCTGTGTGTGTGTGTGTTGGGGCTGTGTGATTGGCTGTGTATGTTGGGGCTGTGTGATTGGCTGTGTATGTTGGGGCTGTGTGATTGGCTGTGTGTGTGTGTTGGGGCTGTGTGATTGGCTGTGTGTGTTGGGGCTGTGTGATTGGCTGGCGGTGGCTGTGAGTTGGTCCAATCACAGGGCGTGTTGTTGGGGTGAAGATGGCTGACAGACTGACACAGCTGCAGGACGCCGTCAACTCGGTCAGTGCCCGGGCTCCCCCAGGCCAGGCCTCCCCCAGGCCTCGGCTCCCCCAGGCCTCCCCCAGGCCAGGGCCCCCCAGGCCTCGGCCCCACCAGGCCTCGGCCCCACCAGGCCAGGGCCCCCAGGCCAGGCCTCCCCCAGGCCACAGTCTGTGTGTGTGTGTGAGAGTCTGTCTGTGGGGATGGGTGTGTGTGAGAGTCTGTCTGTGTGTGTGTGTGAGAGTCTGTCTGTGGGGATGTGTGTGTGTGTGTGTGTGTGAGAGAGTCTGTCTGTGGGGATGTGTGTGTGTGTGTGTGAGAGTCTGTCTGTGTGTGTGTGAGAGTCTGTCTGTGGGGATGTGTGTGTGTGTGTGTGTGTGAGAGAGTCTGTCTGTGGGGATGTGTGTGTGTGTGTGAGAGTCTGTCTGTGGGGATGTGTGTGTGTGTGTGTGAGAGTCTGTCTGTGGGGATGGGTGTGTGTGTGAGTCTGTCTGTGGGGATGGGTGTGTGTGTGTGTGAGAGTCTGTCTGTGTGTGTGAGAGTCTGTCTGTGGGGATGTGTGTGTGTGTGAGAGAGTCTGTCTGTGGGGATGGGTGTGTGTGTGTGTGTGTGTGAGAGTCTGTCTGTGGGGATGGGTGTGTGTGTGTGTGTGAGAGTCTGTCTGTGGGGATGGGTGTGTGTGTGTGAGAGAGTCTGTCTGTGGGGATGGGTGTGTGTGAGAGTCTGTCTGTGGGGATGTGTGTGTGTGTGAGAGTCTGTCTGTGGGGATGTGTGTGTGTGTGTGTGTGTGTGAGAGTCTGTCTGTGGGGATGGGTGTGTGTGAGTCAGTGGGGGTCAGCTGTGTGGGCTATGAAGTGGTGGATCCCTGGTGGTCCCTGTCAGGTCTTGTGTGCTTGTTTGGCCAACCTGGTGTCTGTCTGACACAGGTGCAAACCCATCACAAGGCTTAAGAGCATCCAAACCCAGCAGAATCCCATGCATCCCACCTACACGTGTAAATCCCTGTTTGTGGGACGCTGCTGTGTGGGAATCGTCTGCTATTTTTTCCTACAAATATAGGTACACTACATGTTACAGTAGGACCTATGAAGTGCATTGAGACATTTTGATGACATAGATCATGAGGTTCTTTATATCAAATGCCAGGACTATTAAAGGCAGCAACTGATTTTGACTTGGTATTTGAGTCCTGAGCATTGTTATAAATGTGCACAATGAGTGTGAACTTTCTTATAGGGTCCATAAAATACATAAAACATGCAGTACTGTGTTGTTTAACTTTTTTGTTATTAACTTCTCTGTAATTGGGCTTTCTTTGTTTTCCTTGTAGCTGGCAGACCAGTTCTGTAATGCTGTAGGTGTGCTACAACAGTGTGCACCTCCAGCATCATTTAGTAACATCCAAACTGCTATAAACAAAGACCAGCCCTCTAATCCAACAGAAGGTAAGTACTAAATAATATATTTTTATAAGGACAACCTTCAAGGCTTGTCTCAAGTCCCTCCTCTTCGACCGCATCTTTAGCTACCCTCCAGCCGCACTCCCTGATCCCAACCCCCCCAGCTTGGGTCTAAATCCCTAACTGTCCAGCCCCTTGGGAAGTCCTCCCAACGTGAAAGGTGTTACACAAATGTAATTTTGTATTCAATGAGTTTGTGGTATAATTAAGATACCTAAAGTTTTGATTTGAGGTCTAGATTATATTTGTTGTTTTGGAATCAGATCTACATAAGTAACTTATTATAATATTGAAGTAACCTATGAATTTTTTTTTATAGTTTAATATTTATTCTGTTGCTGGAACATTCTATAGATAAGCATTCATATCAAGTTGATTATGGGACCTGCTTTGCACAAATTGGATTGCTATGTTTGCCTATAAATAGTCACTACACTTGAAAACAATTCCTTAATGTTTAAATGATATAGCTGCTGTAACGAATGCTGTACAAAACGTATTAAGCTATTGCATCAATTTTAATTTTTCAGTCCCCCAAATGAAACTGAGCCAAAAAAATCCAAAAAGTTCCAGGTTCAGGCGTTGGTCTGCTAAGTTCATCTATACTGCTGACAATTGATCAAACCAGTCCCTGTAGTACAATCAAGGCATTACATTATTCATGTCACAACTTTATCATACAATTTTAAACCTATGCAGTATTATATACTTGCCGATTTTCATTTCAAATAGAAAATTAGCTCACATTCTAGTTATAAATTATGGCGTTTTACCTTGTTAATGGCAAATAGAAAGAATAGACAGAACAAAATGTTCCAACAAATTACATTTGTGTAGCGCCTTTCACATCAGGAGTACGCCCCGAGGCACAGGACAGGCAGGGATAACCAGCAAATGATACAAAATTACTATTTGCTAATATTCCAGAGCTGCAGTTATTGATTAAATAAGAAAAATGTTGTCAAACTGCACTTACAGGCACTAAAATTATATTCATAACTAATCTGCAAAATGTGTATTGTGGCCTTCCCTTTCTTACTATGTCTGAGGTTTGGGACTTTGTCACTTCCTGAGGCATAGTTTGACAAGCGTTGGCTGCCCTTTAATCCTTTCCCAAGTGATCATTCTTTGGGTAACTTTAAGTATTGAGTGTTGACAGAGTGTTTGACAATGAAAGGGGATCAGGAAAATGTTATTCTGTATTTTGCAGGAGTGATCAATAGTGAGACACTTTTTTTTCTCCCTGTATACCTAATTAAAGTGTTCTAGTTTAGTTTATCCAACAACATACAGTGAGAATATAACCGGACATAATAATAATAATACTTGCATTTGATCTAGCGCCTTATCACATATTCTGTTTTGTCAAACATAATACTTTTTGACTTGGCTATGGATTTTTAAATAACAGGTGGAATGTACATTTTCTGTAGTTAAAGAAACCTCCACAATAGAGCCTTATCCTGATATATACTTTTTCATGACCCTCAGATTCTGTTGGTGTTTAGGGATAATTATGTTTTTTCTCCTAGAATATGCTCAGCTTTTTGCTGCATTGATCGCCAGAACTGCTAAAGACATAGATGTGTTAGTTGACTCACTACCCAGTGAAGAATCTACAGCAGCATTACAGGTAATTACAAGTGGGTCACGCACAGAAAATTTTGGAAAGGGGCTTTGTAAATTTCAGGAACAGTAATAATTTTGTAGAACCATAATTTAGTAAACCTGGACAACAATCAGTTACTGTATAATTAATGTGTTTGTATATATTTATATAGGGCTGTTCAACCCATAGTAGGTTTGTGAATGTTTTAACTTTGAAATGAATTTGTTTAGATACCGATAAAGAAACAATGAGATAAATGAAGCAAACAGATATAACTTGTTCTTTTAATTGTTGTTAGGGGCTGGATTTCATATTAGTTGGTGTATCATAAAATAATATAGATATTTATACTATTATTTATAAATATTTATATTTCATGAGAATATGAAAGTCTCCCACTCTCTCTGGTTAAGAAAGCTATAGGTTCAGTGAATTAAAATTATCTCAAACCCATTAAAGTAGGTGCAGATCAAATGCATAGCAGTCCTACAACACTTATTCACACTTACTAGGAACCAGGTTCACATTTTGGGTCATAGCATTATCGCTCAAGATCTGAAACTGAAATTAACACTTGCACGGTGGCCGATGATGAGGTTAAAGTATGTTTGAGGCACAGTGTAAGTACCATACTGCATAGTTGGCTATGCCATACCTTAGCTAGGTGTCCATAATGGTGGGGGTAGAGCTCAGATTAAACCCAGTATGATATTATTTTCAGAGTGCTCAGCTTTCACATTAGTTTAGAGCATTGTCTCTTTAGCTGTGTTTGGCTGGTAGTATTTTTGCTTCTGGGCCAGAAGATTGTTGTGTTGGTTGAGTCTCCACATCAGGTTTGAGCTCATAGTTGCAGCTGATGCTCCCAATGAATTAATGGCAGAGTTGACACATTCCAAGTGTTGGTTGACCAGAACATTGTATAGACTTCTCAAAATCTGAACTCAACTGAGATCTAGCTTGGGATTTTATGTTCTATGAAATGCTTCCTTTTTTTGAAAATTCCTGAGTCAAAAGTATAAAATGTAAAAAAAATGTGGTCACTCAAACCACAACTATTTGTGGGACACTGCTGTGCGCAATTGACTGCCACGTTTTGCCGACGTTTTGTATAGTTGAATTTTATTTTGTGCATTGTGTAAAAGGCATAAAATAAAATTGAAGTATGTCTGTTTATTTATTTCAATATTTTTTTTCCACCTAGCATCCAAATAGTGTGATTTATCTTCACACTAATGTATACAGAGTAGCTTGTAGGGTATAAGAAAGATCTTGTACCGTATGAGAATTCCCAGACCAGAAAGAAAGATTAAAAACCTAAATGCATTGTTAAGCTTTAAAGAGTTCTCAGAATTAGAGTAAAATGCTGCACCCATCCAAGGGTTTGAGAGGTGAACTGAAAAAAAGCTAGGGTTTAGGTAAGCTAGGGTAGTATCAATTTGGAAACTTGGCCCATCAACTTCCTTTATTACTGCGCTGTTAAAACGGTTGAGAAGGTTCATCCTGTTTCTTAACATTTTGTCACTGTAGTTGACAATGAGAAATGCAATACCATGTGATGAAAATGGTGCCATCGTTTCACTGAAGTATTTATAAACCTATTTTATGTTCACACGAGTCCAAGCCATGCTCCGCTGGCTCCTTGTCGCTGTAACAGATTGATTTAAAGATCCTCACACTCATTTTCAAATCCCTTCATGCCCTGGGACCTCCCTACCTCTTCAACCTGCTTACTCTCCAACCCACTACCCGCTACCTCCGCTGAACTGGCTCCGGCCTCCTGCATGACCTTGTGTCCTTCGTTCCACCATCGGTGGCTGCGCTTTCAGGCACTATGCCCCAAAACTGGAACACTCTTCCTCTATTCCTCTGCTTGCCCCTTCCTTCCCCATATTCAATTTGTGCCTGAAGACCTTCTTCTTCAGCCATGCCTATGATCACCTGGATCAGCGTCATGTTCGGCCGCTCTGGGCTACATAAATGCATGTTGTTGTTTTGACTGCCCCACGTAATTCAAAAAAGGTTTAGCTTCACTCCTGTTTTAAGTAAATTTTAAAGGTCTGTGCTTGAATGAATAATCCATTCTGTAGAAGAAACAAAAAATCTTTCCATCAAATCCTTCCACATCCAGTAAAGCATGAGTTATAGTTTTACAATATTGCACCAACAGTTTGCTTTAAAATTCAACAGCAGAAATATGGCACCTATTGCATGGATGTGGTATTTCCCAATAAGCCTTGTAGACTTCCTCGGAAACATCATTCATAGGCATTGAGTTCACTTCTACATGTGTGGAGGTGACACCCAACTCTATCTTTCTGACTCTACCCTTGATTCCGACACCACTACTGTTCTGACTAATTGTCAAACAATAATTTCTGGATGAGTTTCCACTTTCTATAACTCAATGTCTACAAGACCAAGGCTCTCCTTGGCTTCTGTCAGCGCTTTCTCACCTCAGGCACTACCTGCATCACTCCACCTTATGGAGCCAGTATCCTGTTAAAGACTCCCGGTGCCATGCAAGCCTCACTTGTGTTAATAAATGAACATTTGACTCATCAATGAATGAAATGTCACATGAAATTATGGTGAATAAAATATTCATTTTCATAATGTGTTTCTTATTTGTTGATAATCTTATCCAGTGTCAAAGAAGGTTATCAATATGATGAAATAATCACTTTCTCACAAAATCCCTGACTCCTAATTTCAATGATTTCATGGTTTCACAATTTTACTGAAAAATTCAGGGATTTTGCGAAATCCCTGGTTTCACAACCTTTACTGTAATATATAGACTTTCAGCTAAGTTGTAATATCTCATTGTGCTCAAGAAGTTATCTGGTTCTCAGAAGAAACTCTAGAGAGCTTCTTTGCCCTCTGATTTTAATGCCAAGGTGCAGTGTAAGCAATGTGATCTTTATCACATTGTTGGTGAGCCATCTATGGGATATTCAAGGTAATGCAGAGTTTAAGAAAATAGTTCGTGAACATCACAGTAATAATCAGGAGCATTGAAGATATTGGCCTGGTACACTTGGAACGATTGGTAGATTAGAAATCTAAATTATCTTGTTAATGCATCTTGCTGGTAGAAATTGTCCAACTTCCTTTTTCCTGTTAGCTGGTTCAATTACTGTAAAGTATTTATACCTGTAAATTGCCCTCCTCCAGGGTAATATCCCCTGGTTATGAGAATATAATGTGCTGACATCATCTGCAATCACGTCCCGTGTAAACACTGCTTTTCCGATGCAGTATCATGTTTCACAAGAAAATGAGTAGGTTTGCCTATTCAGGACAACAGCTGTAAACCTGGAAGAATAAATGCTTTTCCATATGTGGTGTTAGTGGACTGTGGTGAAGCGTAAGCTGTAATAACTGTTGTTTCTTGACCTCCAGGCTGAAAGTTTACGTCGGTTAGAAGCGGAAAATCACGAAGCTGCAGCTCGGTTAGAATTGGTTGTTTACCAAGGGGATATGCTGTTGGAAAAGATACAGAGTGCATTAGCTGATATTGCTCAGTCGCAGCTTGGGACAAGAAGCAGTGGACATAGTCAGCATGTTCCTGAATCGTAATAGCAGGACATGGTAAACTAAGGGCGCGATCTTAACTGCTTGAGAACTGTTGTCGCCTTGGATCATACACTGTTGCTGCAAAAAATACGATTTTTTTAAAAATTATTTTTATTAAAACTCTAAAGAATGCTCCCGGTAACAATTTTTTCTTTGTGAAAGAGTAAACTTATTTTTCCTCAGCATACTTGTCTTCAACTTTCTTCCTTTTTGATCCTTTTGCAAGTTTTTTTTAAAAAGAAGAGCAATTGGACATGTAACATTGTCTGCTACAGCAAAAGTCTCAATTTGGCTTTGAAAACTCAATAAATCAACTGTTCTCATAAAACTAAAGTTCTTTACATTTTGGAAAACACATGTTTAATCTGTTGCATACTGAAACATGTTCCCTTTGGTGCTATGTCATTAGAGTGATTAGAGAATTGAAATATGTTCTTAGAAATAAGACCTTTTGTTAGACCAGACCTAATCTGACAAAACCAATAGAAACTTGGAACAGTAGATGTTCCAGTGAAGATTTCATAACTGTATAGTTAGTTAGATCTTCTGCATATATGGAATAAATATTGTATTCAAGTTCCTATATAATATTTTGTTTATATGGTGTATGTTTCAGTTTAAAATTATAAATAAACTTTTCAATGGTTGACTTTGGCTTGGTGTTGAAGGCATGGAGAAAATGACTGAAGTATTTTATCAGGTGTGACTTGCTGTGCTTGTATCTGGTTTTGAAAATAGTAGTTCATTTGTCTCCCCTCACCTGTTAATATTTCTGGTAAATAGATTTAGTCAACTTATCGTGTTACACGTTAACTAGATTCTATATTTTGCACATGAGAAAATGTTCACACGGTGTCCTGCTAAGTGCATTGGACCCATAGAATATTACAGCCCAGAAGGCCATTTAGTCCATCACTTCTGCTGGCTCTGAAAGAAAGAATTAATTCAATCTCACTGTGTTTGTCTTTTCCCCATACACCTGAAAATCACATGTTGCCTCTTACAAAGCTATAATGGATCCTGCCTCGACCACCACATCAGTTGTGTATTTCCCATCCTGACAACCCTCTGTGTAAAAATATTCCTCCTAATCATCCCTCTTTATTCAACGCTATTTGTAACTAACCAGTGTGGCAAAAACAGCCATTTTGCATTTTGACTGTGACTGTTAAATGTATGAGGGTGAAAAGTGAGAGTGAATGAGACACAGTATGAGAGCTAAACGAGATAAATAGACAAAATGATTGGGGGGGGGGAGGAATATGTGTGACAGTGGGAGATCTGGGAGAGAAGAGAGTGGGTGTCACAAACAAGGAAGACACTGATAATATGGAGTCCTGTAGCTCAGTGGTTAGAGACCTGGGTTCAATTCCAGGCAGAGGGCGAAACCTTGGGCAAATTTCCTTACTCCACACACCTAATAATAATCCCTCCAAAACCAAAAACAATAATAAATTGGTCATTTTCAATCTATGACTGTTTGTGGGACATTGCTGTGTGCAATTGGCTGCCGCGTTCGCCCACAAATATACAGTCAATTCACTTTACAGTGTGTTCTGCAAAGCGCTTTGGGACGTCCTCCCGACGTGAAAAGCGCTATATCAAATGCAAGGATTATTATTATTATTAATATAAACATACTGAGTGAAAGTATGAGTGTGTGGTAAGACAGATGGGAAAGAGCAAATGGTGTGAGATTGATGACAAATCAGTGTAAAACTTGTCCACCACCATCATAATCTAGGGATTGTGTCGGGATATTTTGTAAGTCCTCTTGGATCTGCAAAATCATCACAATTATATGTCCCGCAATGAACAACTTGAACAGTAGCTAATTTTACATTTGAAATATACTCAGTTGCCAAATCATTGCATACAGACTAAGTGGTAAATATTGAGATCAACACAGTCACTACACACAATAAAAAATCCTGTGATGTGCTTTGAAAATGTCCTCACAATGTCACAGTTGCAATATCAAACACAAGCATTATTTTAAATATTGCTGGCCGCTCACCACAACATTTTTCCATTTACAAATATTGATCACAAACCTTTCCCCGCAGCAGGGGAAGCAAGTCTGGATAAACTGATGAAAAAATGGGTATCCTCAAACTCGGCCCCTTTTGGTACCTATCCTCAGCCTCAATATTTTGACAGCTCGACGAGACACTGCAGCTTTGTTTCACAGATCATAGACAGAGGAAAAACATTTTAATTATTTGATTCCATGCAGTCCCAAGCCATATACAGGCAGCTCCTTTCACTTCGGAGAACATCTCAAAGAGCTTCACAGGATTTACTGTAATATGCAGTGACTGTGTAATATAGAATTGGCTGCTGTGTTTCTCCCACACAATAAGCAGTCAATTCACTTTACCGTATACTGCATGAAGCGCTCTGAGGCGTCTTGAAGACATGATGAGGCGCTATGTCAAACGCAAGGATTGTTATTGTTATTACTATTTTGCCGGCGATCGATGGAGGGTTCATTTTTTTTTAAAAAAACCAAGTACATATTTATCTGTACACAGAAGATATAAAGGTGCACTTATCTCAAAGAAATAATTCCCACGACAGGAGGAAAGCCGCAACTCGTTACGATCCCTTCGCGGCACGCGGCGGGGCCGAGCCACTCGGGATTAAGGTGCTCTGGCGCCCTCGCGCGAAGGGGGCGCCGTAATAAATGCAAGTTGTTGTCATGATCCTAGAGCGGCTTTCCCTGGGGGAAAGGAACGCAACAACAGCACAAGCTCATTGGGGTGAAACACTGCAGAGATCTTGTGCCTTTGAGTGAGTGAGTGAGTCAGGAAGGGAGTGAGTGAGTGAGTGAGTGAGTGAGGGAGGGAGTGAGTGAGGGAGTGAGGAAGGGAGTGAGTGAGTGAGTGAGTGAATGAAGGAGTGAGGGAGGGAGGAAGGGATGGAGTGAATGAAGGAATGAGGGAGTGAGTGAGGGAGGGAGGAAGGGAGGGAGTGAATGAAGGAGTGAGTGAGGGAGGGAGGAAGAGAGGGAGGGAGTGAGGGAGGGAGTGAATGAAGGAGTGAGGGAAGGAGGGAGTGAGGGGGTGAATGAAGGAGTGAGGGAGGGAGGGAGGGAGTGAGGGAGGGAGTGAATGAAGGAGTGAGGGAGGGAGGAGGAAGAGAGGGAGGGAGGGAGTGAATGAAGTAAGTGAGTGAGGGAGGAAGGGAGGGAGGGAGTGAGGGAGGGAGGAAGGGAGGGAGTGAATGAAGGAGTGAGGGAGTGAGTGAGTGAGGGAGGAAGGGAGGGAGTGAGGGAGGGAGGAAGGGAAGGAGTGAATGAAGGAGTGAGTGAGTGAATGAAGGAGTGAGGGAGTGAGGAAGGGAGGGAGGGAGTGAATGAAGGAGTGAGTGAGTGAGGGAGGGAGGAAGAGAGGGAGGGAGGGAGGGAGTGAATGAAGGAGTGAGTGAGTGAGTGAGGAGGAGGTGGAGGGGAGTGTCAGGTGTAGTACTATATCGGTTGGTTGGTTGGTTCACCCGAACTTGACTATTAAAGGAAATGCCGCCCTCCTCTGTGGGAACTGAAGCTGCTGATTGGTTGGCAATGGGCAGAGCTCAGTGTTGCCACCACCAGTCTCCCTCCCCATTGGGCGGCCGCGGGGCTCCAGCCCGGCTCTGTGCTGCTCAGGTTTGGTTGAGCCCGGAAGAGGGTCCCATCCCCTCCCCCATCCCAATCCCAATCCCATTACCTCAACCGCCTCCTCCCTCCCTCCTCCCTCTCTCTCTCTCTCTCTCACTCACTCTCTCTCTCCTATCCCTCTCTCTCTCACTCACTCTCTCTCTCCCCTCTCTCTCTTTCTCTCTCTCACTCACTCTCTCTCAAGAAAATCTCATCACTGGGAAGAGGGGAAGGAGCAGCGAAGCTTGAAACCCAACCCAAGTCCAACCCGGAGCAGCTCGACCCGACCAGACCCGAGTCAACCCGACCAGACCCGACCCAACCCGACCAGACCCGAGTCAACCCGACCAGACCCGAGTCAACCCGACCAGACCCGAGTCAACCCGACCAGACCCAACCCGACCAGACCCGAGTCAACCCGACCAGACCCAACCCGAGTCAACCCGACCCAACCAGACCCGAGCCAACACGGCTCAGCTGCAGGAGGAAGGAGAGCCTTGAACCCACCTTCTCTCCTGGTCTCCCCCTCTCCCTCTCTCTCTCTCTCTCCTTTCCCCTCTCTCTCCCCCCCTCTCTCTCTCTCTCTCTCCTCTCCTCCAGGACCCATCACCTTCTCATTCCAATGGTCACTTGGTCCTTCTATCCCCCGGAGGTCCAGGCTGCCGGTGTTGGCTGCTGCACTGTCACTGACTCCTCTGCACTGTGACACCAAAGCGATCGCTCCACTCTCTGGGCTTCGACTTCTTGCATAAAAGGACATTTTGAGACTCTAAACAGACGATCATTTATCCCCTTCCACCCCATCCCCCCCCACACCCTCCCCCCCTCCCCCCCACACCCTCCCCTGGAAGGACTGCACTGTAGAGACCCAACAGGTGAGGATATTTTGTGTGTGTGTGTGTGTGTGGGGAATGGGGGAGTGTTTTAGTTCAACATTAGCTGCTGTTAAGTTACCTGTGACTTGGGGCGTTTTGCCTATGACTTTTGTTTATATCTCATGTGTGTGTATAATTATATATGTATATATATACACACACACACACACACAAGGTGACCAGAAAAGTCGTGATCCCATTATAAAGTCTAATAAGTCTTAAAGTAATGATGATATTTTGTGGTTTTTTTTTAATAAGATCATAAGAGAGATACCATGGCTTTTTGGTCACCCTATAATATATGCATGATAGTCCTTGAGTTGGACACAGCGCCTTATCTGGTGCTCAAAAAGTCTCCAAAGCACTTCAGGGTTTACTGTCAAGTGTAATGACTTTTTTTTTCACTGGTGACAGTGTTTGGAGGTGATGGTAGTACAGTGCGTAACGACTGGTTTCCACAATCTGTCAAGTTTGTAATGTAGCTACCAAAACATGATGTTCATCTGGGCTTACGCTTTTGTTAAGCGTTAAGTCAGGGGTAAAGCTAACCTTGATGTAATCCATCTGTACAGCAGTATTGTATTTTCTGTATTGTACCAGTCTCAGGATAGAACCATTTTTAAGTGTCATTTTTGGGCTGAAGTCTTATCATCTCCTTCTGTGCATTCCCATCTTGGTCGCCTGCTCCCTGCCCCACTCAAAAAGGTAGTTTGTCGTAGCTGTAGACTTGTAACTCATATTTATTTTTAAACAATAACAATCCTTGCATTTGATATCGCGCCTTGTCACGTCGTTGAGACGTCTCAAGCACTTGACCGACAGATACTGTAAAGGGGATTGACTGTGAAGTTTGCGAGTGAAACAAGATTACATTCTTACAGAATTGTGGATTTTTGAAATCCCCACTCTCCTATCAATGATTATGTGTGTTAACAAACCGGTTTCTCATACTGTATATTCAAAGCGACCTGCCTTGTGCAAGTGCCAGACGGTGTCGGTGTTATTTATAGATAATACTGCTGCTCACTCAACTCATGCAGCATAACAAACCTAGGAACATACTTTCCAATTGCATTCATTAATTTTGCTTTTCCGCCAATGGCTGATTTTTAAGTGTACCACAATCTAATTATGACAGGTCTCTGCAACCACAATAGACATCTAAATACTCGGTGTGATTGATGGGCGCTGTGTAAATGCAGTTGGTTTTTCTCACTCTTTTGACAATTTTATTGTGATCTAGTAACTCAAAAGCTACTAGTGAGTGTTGCACAAACAGTGGCCGCTGACTCCCAATTGAAACTCTTTGATAGTTGTTGATACATAAGAGCGTTACACTGTCTAAAGCTACATGGTATCAAAAACTGCATAGGTTACATAATTAGTACAATTGAAAAGTTGATTCATTCAGTTTATGAAAACATAACAACAAATTCTTTGGTAATCGTATGGTTTGTAAATCCTGTATAGTGATACTGATGGTTTCTTAATAATAATTGCATTTGATATAGCGCCTTATTATGTCATCAAGAGTCTCTAAGTGCTTCACAGGATATACTGTAAAGTGGATTTTTTTTAACTGTGTCATTTATGGGCGAAAAGTGACCTGGTTAATATACAGGTTAAACAATGGGTCTATTCCCATAGTTTTCTGGAATTCAGGAGTTATGAGTGAATTATTCATTTTTTTGTTTGTATTATCAGATTTCTGAAAGTATAGCTCGGGCACTTCTTGTCTAAGATGTCTCTTGAGCACTTTGGGGTGAAAGTCCAGCAGTAACCTTGATGCTCATGTTACTTAACCGATTGGCAAAACTGAAAGGTTTCAATAAAATATGTATGTGTAGAAATTCTCTTGCATCTGCCCAGATTCATCCCATTGGAAAGGATGCTAAATGTCAACACTGGCCCATAAATTATTAAGCAATTAGAAATCGGTTTCAATTTAAAAAGCCAATACTGTACAAGCATGTTGTTAGAACAATCTCTCTGAATTATTTTCCACCTAAATACATTTATGTCTTCAATTAAAGAATAATCTGAATGAGTTGTTTCTTGGCCAATGTTGTCCACAGCAGGCCACCATTCAGAATGATGTAATGCTGCATTTATTTGAAATGATGTCAATGTCTGCAAGTCGCACAGGGCAGTCTTTAAATGCGTGTCTGCATGCCTGTATATTACACAAAATCTTATACTGAGTGGCAGACATAAATCAAGAACATTTATAGGTGCACTGTCACAGGTCATTAGGCCTTGGAAGGCAGATTTTGTTTTCTAGACACAAAGGAGGTAGTGGGGTAGCATCAAATAATGTTCATTTATTATTATCTATTATCCATTAATGTCCAGTTCCAAATATTTCTGCACAAATGTCAACCTTTGGAGTATTTTCCTAGCTTTCAATGATACGTTTACTTTGTTCCCTTCCCTGTTATGCATTATCTGCTATTGATAAGTCTGAGTCCCATTGCTGGGATTTGAGCAATAGTGTCACGGAGTTTCACTTTCTAGAAACTCACCTTGTTATCCATTGTAAAGCTTTTCCTGGAGTATTGGCCTGCACTACCATTGTGCCTAAGCTTTCATTAATATGTTTTTTTTTGCTTGTAAAGATAAGGGGCCACATTGCTGGGAAAATGCTTTCTTGTGATTGCATCCCATTTAAGTATCAAGCCTTTAAGATTAAGTACGACATGAAGAAAGCACTGAATAACTAGAAAGGTTTCTCTGATATGCCATATTATTCAGATATGGGAGTAACATCCATTTCTCTGCCTAACTTTGATGCTTTAAACCCTAACCTTTGATTAGCATCTCCTACGCACCACTGTAAAAATTTCTGTTAGTGCACTAATTATTAAACCAGGAAGCTGGGTACATTAATCTTATGGCAATCTATTGCCAGTTACTGCCTTGTGCAGAATTCTTACAATGATTCTCTCTTGCTGTGCTTTCTTATACCACATTTATTTGGGGGGAAAAAAGTAGTCTCTCAAGTAGCAATGCCAGTTTTGGGCTGAATTATAGCCAGAATCTATTGCAATTGAGACGCCTCTAGTATCTTCATGTTAGACTCTCAACAGCCGGAGAAAAGAGGCAAAGAGACTTGATGCTTTGGAGTGTGATCCGATGTTCAAAGGATGATACTGTTAATATGTTGCAACACCCAGTTCTTCCCTCTGCACACATTTCCTTAAATAACATCAGAAAAATGTTACAGAATGGTAAACTATATGGTAGACTAGATGAAGGCGACATTTGTTTCAAAGGACCTTGACGAAGGACATTCAGCTCTGTAAGGAGGTTTGTTATCAGAAAGCTGGCACCAAACCAAATTAATCTTTATTTACTTTTCTATAAACTTGTGTGCAATAGTATTACAAACTAGCCTTTGCAGCTGTCGCAGTAAATTCTCAAGTAGTAGTTTTAATAAAGAAAGATTTATAGTTGATTGATAAGATGCTACTGTTGTATGTTTATCACCATATGTGCGCAATATAAAAAAAGTACTTGTAGTTTGGCACATAGACAAAAGAAAGCCTTTGTGGTCTGAATCCAGACCAGGCGGGATAAAAGATTTATGCCCTGAGACTCTCGAGGGTCCTGAATTCATTTGGATTCTTCCAACCTGACTTTCTAATGAATGCAACATCAGCCTTTAGCTTGTAATTTAATACTACTGATTCTTTCTGATTACTACAGTAGTGGAGACTGGTAACGTTCTACTGATGCTGTGAAGGGGATGGGGGGGCGGGGGGTGGGGGGGGAATGGCTCCCACTTTTCTCATGCTATATTTATGGGTGGTCAAATGAGATCATGCTTGTTTGTTTGACACATCAGTGCAAATAGCTTGAATTCTGAGGTTGAACTCAGCTCGTGTCTTCCAAACAGATGCATCTCAAGGGAACCAGAAGAGAACAGAGATTCAGAGCTATGCAATTTTTGGGGCAGACATTTGGAAGCGCAGTATTTATTTACACAGTTAGAATGGGTTACCAGAAAGAATGGTAGAGGCCAGGCCACTTGACCTCCTCAAAATTAGTTGATGCTGTAAATGTGAAGAAGGTAGAGTGCGTATTCAGGAGGGATGGGTTGAAAGCTCTTCCTGTACACCTTTCTTGTGATTTTGTAAGTTTCCCACAGATGCCGAAATGCTGTTGTCCAAACTGGCAATGGAATTGTCCCTCTATTCTGCTCTCTGCCCCCAATTCTCCAATTTAACAAATATTGTGATGGCAAGAAATAAGATCACACATATGAAGGTTATTTGAAAGTTCCCATTTCCTTTCCGAGACCAATAATTTAAGATGGATCATAAACCAGATCACGCTGTTCTGTTTGTTTGGAGGGAGTGTTCAGGATGTATATTTACCTTTATGAATAGGATTTTCAATATGATTCATGCAAGACAAATGATTGCCAGCTATGCAGTTTAATAGCTAATTTCAGTAAGTGTACTAAAGTATGGTAAAGTATTATACTCCTTGTGGAGATATAAACACTGGTTAGACTGGATGGCCTGTGTTTCATCTGCACCTTTTATGAATCTGTGGGAATATTTCATTCACACATTGGGTGTGGCACTTGCACTTTACGAATCCAATTTGGACCAGATTTTAATCATGAGCTACAAATCAGTTGTTAAATTTGAAGCAATTTTAAATCATGAACATTGACAGGTAAAATATGGAGGCTTGAAGCAAGGTTTCCCTTTCTTGTAAATAAAGGAAGATAATGAAATCCATGCTCTTTGCCACATTTTGGTTATAAGCAACCTTTTCATACTCAAACTCGACTGCATGAAGCTACCAGATTGCTTTTGTCACAAGCTGGCCAGCTAATGTTTTAAACAAATTATCAATTTCCAATTTGCAACATTGAAATATTTAAATACCGCATTAAAATTCTCCTCTTCCTCTCTTTCTTCCGAGTAGGTATCCATGTTAACAATTGCTTGAGTAAGAGGATGCAACCACCATGTATTTGGTTAGGAATC